CTCGAGTTATGATTCTCATTTATACCATTTTAAATCAGTGCGTCAAATTATCAACCAATGTTAACAGTCGCTAGAATTAGACGAAGATAACACTAGTATGTAGTGCACATTACAACGAGTAAGAGAAAGACAGAGAACTGAAAATATGTCGACACTATTTTCATACATGTTGTTCCACACTTTGCTGCCCATAACCGTATACCGTATCTAGGTTACTAAGAAATCTCTGGTTGCTATGCAGTAATGGTTGCTATGCAGTAATGGTATCTATGCAGTAATGGTTGCTATGCAGTAAAGGTTGGCTATTCAGTAAAATGAGTTTTTACTGTACGATTTGAAGTGTCTACATCTAGTGTATTACTGAATGAAATGCGAAAAAATGTTTTATACTCATATCACATCACAAAACATAGATAACGGGTGTTTTGTTTTTCGTACTTTTTGGGACACTTGATTGCATTTAATCGTAAACATATCGCTTTTATGTACCCACCCATGCTTGCAGACTTCTGTTGGTGTCTTCAGAGGGATACTGCGAGATCTGGCTACAATAGGAATGCCAATCGTTCGAAAAAAAAGACCTTTTTCAATGAAAAATGAAGTATTGTTTTATTAATTTTGTATGATTTCAAAAAATTCAATAAACACTTTTCATTTTGAAACCTGATGTGATAGGTTGGGTACCTATACTCCATATACTAAAGAAAAAAATGTTTTATACCCATATCACATCAGAAAACATAGATAACGGGTGTTTTGTTTTTCGTACTTTTTGGGACACTTGATTGTAGTTAATCGTAAAAATATCGCTTTTATGTATCCACCCATGCTTGCAGACTTCTGTTGGTGTCTTCAGAGGAATACTGTGAGATCTGGCTACAATAGGAATGCCAATCGTTCGAAAAAACAGACCTTTTTCAGTGAAAAATGAAGTTTTGTTTTATTAATTTTGTATGATTTCAAAAAATTCAATAAACACTGTTAATTTTGAAACCTGATGTGATACGATTCTTTCAAGCATAATCCTCAATTGAGTTTGAGGTAAGAAATTTTAACTACATACTGTGCAATCTGTGAATTTTATTTTTTTTTAATTTGTTGCATAGTGTAATTAACCGTATATTAAAAATCAAAGTTAAACTCAATTGGAAGTGGCAGTGCACAAAATCTCATGAACAGTATATCTGACAAATTTTCGTTTGTGGTTGTATCATTATCTCTTATTTGATAAATACCTAGCAATCTGAGCAAAAAAATCTGGCAATCAAAAATTGTTGTAATTCAGTCATCTTTGAAAGCTAATCTGCATGTCTTTCACAGATTCGTACATACATGTTGAATAAAATGATAAATGTAGAAAAAATGTGGATATGAACGTAGAATTTTAATATATATTGTTACGAAATGCACCCTTACGCCACCCCAGTACGACGCCTATGGCCGTCGAGAGCTTTCTGGACGTACGCACGGCGCTGATGGGTGAATCATCACTGCTGACGGTGTCGACGGCCGAGAGGCGGGCGCATAAAGACAGATCTGGAGCCGTCTCGAAGCAGCGTCCAGGGGAGTCTCGAAGCGGAGTCGCGATGGATGTTCGTGAAAGATCTCGATCAGAGAATATGGGTTTAAATAGAGGCGACCGTAGGTAATGGATTATTCATCCAGTGACGACAGTCGAGAGCGCCGGAATAATTTCTGTACATATTCGTTGCAATAGATAGTGTTGTAATTCCAACTAAAGAAATAAATCTTTGAGTTTTACCAACGCCCGATTTATTATTCGCCCGTCAATCGTAACAATATACAGGATGAGTATTATAATAACAAATATTGCTAGATTCCAAAATAAACACATACGTTTTTAGAATCAACGTAGGTACTCTCCTTACTAGTTGTCACTGTTTCTGAAAGACGTCAATAAAAATTTCACAAATGAAATAAAAAAACACACCAATATATTAATTCAAAGAATTGTAATACATAAATTGAACAATTAAATAAATTTAACCAGAGTAAGCATTGTTCAAAATGTCATACTTCCTGCGCAACACACATTTCGATGCGATTTAAGCAAGCCAACCGGACGCGGGCAAGTGTTTCAGGAGTTATTGCAGCACATGCATTTCTAATTCTGGTTTTTAAATCTTCACAATTACGAATAGGACTTTGGTAAACTTGTTCTTTTATAATCCTCCAGAGGAAAAAATCTAAAGGTGCTAATTCGGGACTACGAGGGGGCCATGCATTCACACTGCCTCTGCCAATCCACTTATTTGCAAATGTCTCATCAAGATAGTCCCTAATGACTCTGTGATAATGAGGTGGTGCCCCGTTTTGCTGAAATTACAGCTCTTGTCGGAGGTTGCGAGGAACATTTTCTAATGACCCCGGAAAATCATTTTCCAAAAATTGTCCATACCTGTGTCCTGTTAAGTTGCCTTCGAAGAAGTATGGACCAATTACGTAATCTGCAATAATACCAGTCCACACGTTTATGGAATAAACATTTTGGAAAAAAGCTGTTCTGATCCAATGTGGGTTATTTTGGGAGTAATAGTGACAGTTGTGCCGATTAACAACCCCGTTATTGCCAAATCTTGCTTCATTGCTGAACAAATCTTTGAATAAAAAATTGTTGTCCAATTCTAGTTGATGTTGCATAAAATTGCAAAATTGTATCCTTCTGGAAAAGTCTTCTTCTTTTAGATCTTGTATTCATGTCAGATGGTAAGGGTAGAACTTATTCGCTCTCAAAATTTTTGAAACGGAAGATTGAGATATTCCTACCTGTCGTGCTATAAATCTTTGGCTCACATGCGAGTCATTGTCTACCGTTTCAATTACACGAATTTCATTTTCGACACCAGTAACGGTAAGTCTTCTATTTCTTGTTTCTTTCGGCCAATTTTGTCTTAACGTTTTTTCTAAACATTTAAAGATTTGGTCGGATGGATGTCGCCTATCGGGATATTTTCTTTCGTAGAGATTTGTTGCTGTAACGGCATTTTTTCCGTATTCTCCAAAAATCAATAGCATATCAACCTTTTCATCGTTCGTGTATTTAACTCTCATCTTATCGCGAAAACCAAAAACTTATCGGAGCTCAAAATTGACAAATAGAATTATTAGAATATGGTCGGAGGCTCGGAGGTCCCATCGTCCTCTAAACACATTCTGCATCTGCTATCGGAAGCCAGACCCATCACACACATGTGTTTGTCCAGTGGCTGTGACGAGTGAACAGCCCCATGACAGTTTTGAGATCATCGAGCCCCACTAGACAATGGTACCGTAGAGAATCATCGGCCTTATCACACTGGTGCATGGTGTCACGTCCGGTTACTATAGGGGGTGTTGCAATTAAAACTTTTGTGTTATGTTTTAACCTTTATTAACTAACTTAATTACAAATTAATATAATAACTTCAATACTTACATTTCTATTATGTGACAGTTTTGAAGAGACTCACAGTCTTAATCGCCTTAGCTAAAGCTTCTTTCGAGAGCAAATCGGTTTTATTTCTAACTGTGACATTACCACGTCCCAACTGAGAGAGTTCATTTCATTAACCCCCAAAACAATGGTGAAATCAACTCTCTTAATAAATTTCAGACTTTTTCAGAGTTAATTTTTTTGTCGGGGTTTTCTAAGTTTTGCACTTGTTTCTGTACACAATAGATATTTACATAAAAGTCAGGAAAATGTCTCATTACTGAAGAGGAGCTATGTTGAAATACGAGGCACTTTGTGCCGAGTATTTTAAAGCTCCGAGTCAAATAAGACATTTTACTGACGAGTTTTGTATTAAATTTTTCCGGAAATCGCAATAAATCGCTAAAAATCGAGATTTTCCAACAAGTTTTTTAATTAATTGCGCAAAAATCTAGTTTGTCAATTTCTTGAAAACGATGGTTACAAACAAAACAATTATAAAATTTTGTGCGTACGTCAGAGCTGTGTGTTTATTTCATTAATTAATTATGAATACAAGCGAAAACACTGGTGAGGATGTTCCTTTTGACCTAAGCAAAGCAGCCGCTGCTGCTACAGAAGAATTGTTACCGTCGAAATCTAAGGAGCGGTATGAAAAGCAGTTCCAAGTCTTTGAAGATTGGCGCAGGCTTAAAAATGTTACTTCGCTAACGGAAGACGTATTTCTGGCTTATTTTGCGGAAAAATCAAGTTGTTATAAGGCTTCAAGCCTCTGGAGCACTTACTCTATGTTGAAAGCCGTGCTTTTGTTGAAGGAAAATTTGGATATCAGCAAGTTTTGTAAGGTAACTGCTTACCTAAAACGAAAATCGACTGGTTACCAACCAAAAAAATCGAAATGTTTGTCTCGGGACCAGATAGATAAATTTCTGCTTGAAGCTCCCGACAAGGAATTTTTTTAATGAAAGTAAGTTATTACAATGATTACATATTTAAGTTTTATTAAATTTGGTAATTTCAGTAGCAGAAGGATACATAGAAGAGTCCATCGAAAATAAATTAGATATAGCTAATAAAATACAAGCTGGTCCGAAAAAAAGACCCTTCACTAATATCGAGACGTGTCCCTCTACAAGTAGTGATTCATCTGAAATCTGTTGCACCGAAATCTCGACTGAAATTTTTGATAAAAAGGTTAAACTTGATCATAAATCTCTGTCTGGAATTAACATTGCAAATATATCGAATTCTACAATTAATGTTAATATCTGTAAATAGTGTAATTTACGAAATTTTGAATAAATTTTTCTTGTTTAAATAACTAATTATTTTGCGTCATTTTTGTAGTTTTTACAGTACTAGTCAGGGAAATCCAATTTTCCTGCGCCTAATGTCGCAAGGAAATGCTGTTTCAATGACGATTTCCGGAAAATTAATAAATGCCAATGAATTATGCAATTGTTTAATTAACAGAATCAACAAAACTATTCTTATCAAAAATGGTACACTGGTAATCGAATTTTAAATAAGTTTAATCTTATCTACCATATTTTCCTCGTCGAATTGCTTATTGAAACACGTATAATTTAGTGTCCATCAAAATAAATGTGCAACAATATGAGATTAACTGTTCTGAGTTCTTACAAACTTTTATTTTTATGTGCGGTCATATTTCAACAAGCAAATGCAGGACTACCAACTCGAAAGAAAAGCGGTTATCAGTTCTCTCAACAAGAATATTTATTAAGTAGCGATTTTTGGGAAAATGATGACTGGATAATAAAAGAATCAAGCAGCTTATTAACAAGACCCCATTTTGAAGCGCATTTTGAAGGTATGTATTTCTGAATTGAAAGCACGAAGAATGTTACCCCCAAGCGTAAGTACGCTAGGACTAATGGTTGCGAAATTTAAATGTATCTATTTTAAAAACAACATGTAGTTGTTTACCTGCAGTTTAACGGTCTTCACATATCTTTATTTAAACTTACAGGAGTTTAAAAAAAAATTGAAAAATAAAATTTTAGAATTTTTCTAAAAAAACTGGGTTTGTTCTATTGTACTTCGGGGATGAAGAACGTTCTATCTAAATTTTTAAATTTACACACCATAATAAAATTCTTGTCTATTTACTTCTATCGTATAGTCAAATATTTATATATTTTCAAAGTTTGCCAGTTCAAGTGTCAATAATTTTTAAGTTTGTTGATCTTTGTTGATAAAGTTTTTAGAAAGGACAAACAGATAAATTGTAAATCTGAGAGCAATCTGCGGTATAATTTTCTGTAAAATTTTGTCGTACAGTTTTCTCTGATTTTTTTCCTAAAACATATATGCGTAGGATTAAAAACTACGATCGATTTACATAGCTACTATCGGATTATTAGTAGTGGTAAACAAATTTGATTTATCTTTTGCTTTATCTACACGGAATCCTACATACACATTGAATTTCACCGTACTCTAAGTAGCACTTTCCAATATTATCTGCAAATAAATACTCAACAAACGACAAAGAGACAAAGAGACGAATGACTATATGTATGATGTAATTTTTGGTGGAAAACAAGAGACAAAATTTACTAAACGCTTTGTATTCTATCTTTTAAAGCAGAGTTAGGATGCCACAAAAATTTGTTCAGTACTTTCTCCGGTTAGGTGTCTATTAAATCAAGAGACAAACTGATAAATTTAATTTAAAATTGATTTAATCAGGAACTACAAAACCGAATGCTTTGAAATCTTGGAGACGTTTTACAGTTATTATAGGCATGGTAAATTTTTAGTCAAAATATATTTCCTACAAGTACAAAATATGACGAGTCTGTACTTGTGATTTATCATTCCATTAATCTTTTTTGGATTTGCGTATACTGGGTGACTCAAAAAAATTATCATTGTATTTCAGGGAAATAATTCGACGGGCGGCGGGAAAAACGTAATTGACCCTTTGGAAATAGTATACGGCTGCAGACTAAATGCCTGTGACATTGATTAACAAACCGCTTTTGAAGTTGACAGAAAGCAACCGGAAACGCATGCGTAATCTGTCGCTCATTGGTTAATTTTAACTTGGCGGTGCAGAAATCTGACTTCGCCTGAGCGATGTTGTTTCATTCTTTATCATTGAAATTTATATAATATCTACTCGCTTTGCGTATAGTATAAAGGGTCAATAAGTAACATGGAATATACAGACGGCAAGCGATAAACCTCGACTTTGCCTCGGCTCGTACTTGAAGATTAACAAAATTTGAATAAGAAGCGACACTAGTGTCGGTGCCTTGGATCTTTTCAGGAATTTTAAAAATTGATTTTTATCAAAGGTTGAATGTTGACGTAAATAATAGTTTGTCATTTATGCCTGGAAAATTTGTTTCATAGTCAATTGATCGCAAGGTAAAATTCACCGCTAATTATTTTGTTTTTATAAAATTAAATTTTTTATGTTCTGATTCTTAAGGTACCTACAATACTTTTAAAAAATACTTAATACTACTGATTTAAAAAAAAGGGATAAGATGTCACTGTCATTTGTTCTTTTTTTTTAAACCAATTGAACTATGGCGGACAAAAATTTCAAAGAACGTCAAATTATGTTGACTTTTAAAGTATAAATTTATCTAGCACTGCTAACAGAATAAATTCAGTGTTTCAAAATTTCAGATTTATTTTCAAAGGTCAAGTCAGAATGACAATAAGGGGACATTTACAACGATGGTTTTTAAAATGGCATGGTTAGAAACGATTATAACGGTTAAAATGTGTGTATGAAATAAGTGACGACAGAAATGCGATGTATGTACCTACGCCTACAATGAACAAACACAGAACAGTTCGATACAGCTTTACTAAACACACTGTACACTTTGGTGAGCCTGCGCACTAGAAATCTTTTTTTCTATTTGGTGACAGTGACGCTTCTTGTAAAAATTTGGTAATCTTCTTTGTCGTTACATTCCTTCTTATTTAAATAACTATTAATGAACCTAATTTTAAATATAAATCCTAACTTCCATATTAAAATTTAGGTCTTGTGTTTATTGTTTTCAGAATTCGTTATAAAGAAACGGAAGGAAATATTTGTGAACTTCGAGAAGTCTTACAGTTTTTCGGTAAAGGGAACAACCGATATTGTGTTTTTTGTATCCGCAGAATCAAGCCAATTTTACTATCCATATCAAATAAACGATGAAAAGATTTGGACTACTTTTACTGTTAGTGTAAAGGATGGAATGTTGTTCATTTATGAAAATTATACAACACTAATACAACAGGTCACTTATGTTCCAAAGACGTTAATCATAGAAACTCCGATACCAGCAAACTTTAAAATATACGATTGTAAGTATATTAACTACACTGTACGAGTATATCAGCATGCTTAATATAGTTCTTATCCTTTAATTAATAGAGATGTATGATGTTGTAAGTTGTAAGTTGTAACATTTAGAAATGAATTGGTTTTTACTCTTTTTAGTGTACTTTAAAAACATACGACTTCTTAGATTTCATTTGCCATTATCGTGAGTTACTGCATGTAGAATACAAAGTTACATTCGCCTAAAAATTAGTTTTCAATTTACACACTTTTTTTTCTAACCAGAAAAGAAACTTATAGGTAGTGGTTATAAGAACTTAACAAACTAACGTTTACACCGGCATTAGATCTATTCTTTAAAAAACATTTTTTCCAAAGAAATTTTTGGTACAAGGCAGCTGATCTCTTACGAAACTAATGTTTGCTCTAAACCGAATTAATTTGTTCGTAATTAATACATTATTTTTATTTTTAGATGAGTATAAAGAAGCCACCAGCGACACCAAAGGACAGCTATATATAAACAAATTGCGAATTCCAGATTCCGGAGAGGTTTATTTAATTCTCTCTGTCTCTATGTGTGACACTTGCGACCTGATTGCAACATATAAAAATACCAATTGTTTTATGCATTCATCTAATGACCACAATACTGAACGTTGGGCAAGTTACAAAATCAAAATAAATCCTAATATTTACAAAGAAGTAATTCTGGCTCGACGTAACCATTACTCAAATAACGCGGGATACTGGAAATTACACTTACGACTAACAAATCGTGCAATTGAATCAGGTGAATGCTTGTATTGCAATAATATAAACGAAAGTGTTAACAGCATTCTTATCAAATTTATTTATCAAGTATACAGACAAAACAACTACATTTTTAGCAGTAACTATAACATTGGATTTCCCATTGACCATATTTACGCTTTAACCCTCGGATACCTAAGCCTGGGTCAAATTTGACTCACGAACCACTTTTTTGTGATTCTTTTCTTCAATCTCTGAAATTTTTTCTCTTGGATTTTATTTTTTGCCTGTTTTGGTGTTGTCGACATTATCTGAATAGTTGCCGCCACTTGATTTTAGTTACATGATAGTTATCACAAATTTATAGCAGTGGGTCAATTTTGACCGACTTTGGGTCTTCATCTTCTAGATCTTTAACAAGAAGTTTAATGAGTAGGCATGTAATAGAAAAACAAAGAGATGGCGTAGTTTATGTTTTCAATGTTTGAAATTCTCTACCCGATTATGTCATTAAGAGCTCGTCTCTTTTAAGCTTCAAAATTAATTTTGATAAGTACATGGATGACGGCGATAAATGGATCTCTAGCCATTGATTAAACTTCATATTGGATCAATAATAATGACTGTTGTATGTGGACATAACAGGTATTTCCCTCGATTTTTTTTTTTAAGAATGGTTTAGTTTCAAATTATTAGATTCGAAATTTTACAAATTTAAATTTCAAATAGATTTGGTGCTCGATAAACAAATAATATAATTTTTTTTCTAAACAGTAACAATTTTGTTTAATTTTTCCTCGGGAATGATTGAACTTATTTTCTCTAAAATTTTAGTGAACAAGATTTATAATGCTGCATACCAGTAAAAGAGTTCACAATTTTTTGTAGTACTATTCGTATTGGTGGAAACGATATTTCTACATCAATAATCATAGAATTATCTACGAAATTTGCAAGTATTTTATGTCAAAAGCTGATTTTTGTAAACGTTCCAGTAGTAAACCATGAATATTTAGGTGAATTTTGCTTAGAAATTTTAATTTTCATATACTTTTACAACATTTTAATTTAAAAAATTAAAAATGTATTTATTACATATATTATAGATAAATCAATTTTTAATTTTTTAAATTAAAATGTTGTATCTATAATAGATAAATTTTTAATTTTTTAAATTAAAATATTGTAAACGTATAAGAAAATTAAAATTTCCAAGCAAAATCCACCTAAATATTGATGGTTTACTCCTGGAAAGTTTACAAAAATCCGCTTTTGACATAAAATGCTTGCAAATTTTGAAACAGAATTGGAATTTTCTTGACAATCATGCCTAATATTTTTGACTTGTATCTTTTAAAAATTATTATTTCCGAATTTATAGCTATTTACAGTTTACGACTTAGTTCAAGAATAAATTCCGTATTAGAACTTTTCCTATAACCAAAGAGATGTATATTGTTAACTTATATAAGGTACATACCTTACATAGAAACGAGTAATTTGTTTTTTAATATGACATTGCCTTTCTTTATCATTCTATTTACCTAACAATTATTGTTGTGCAATTATGCGCGTGTAAATAAAAATAAATTTACAATAATTTATTTGTGGGTATATTTTTTTACCAGTTAATTTTAGGTGGATGGTTATGTGTAATGGTAACAATAGTCGCATAAAATTCACTCACCAGATTTCAAAAGCTATTAAATCCAAATCTTTTTGTTTATTTTTTTTACGTCTCGAGCGTAAGCTAAGAAAGTATTGTAATCAAGTTCATCGGGCAACTGGCTACTTTTATAGCTTCTCAACGTTTCATGACCCCTATAATACGAAAACATAGGTCTCTCGTTTCCGGTTGATAAAACGCTGACCAACATTATTGTAATCATCCTCACTATCATATAACGTCATCTTCAACTTTTACAACAGTAAATGTTACATAAATTTTATAAAATAACATACTTTTTCATTTGTTGTTTATTGAATTTTTACCCTAAGCATCCAGATTGAATTACCATAACCCTAATTTCATGAGATTTTGGAAACAGGAGGTACTTACTACATAAAGAAAATTAACAGAATTTGAAGTAATGTAATGATACTCTTTTTACATCAACATACTATTACTTATCAATTAATTGGGCATCGTCCACAATACTGTTCAATGTTCATAAATTATAAGCGCAGAAAGTTTATGCAAAAGCATGCAAACACATTTTTTGCGTATAATATATATTGCTTTATTATTAAATATCTACTCATTTACAAGAGTTATTAAAAATAGTAAAAAAAGTATTCAAGTCTCTGTCCAGTTTAATACCTTACCTTACTAAAATAATAAGTTTAATGAATTGTGTAGTTAGCAAACAATGACGTTTAATTTATGCCAGGGTTCACGGCATCTACTTTTCACATTGCATGTTTAATTCGGACTTATAATTTGAGAATATAATTTAGCCGTTTATTTATTTTTGTAGTTTAGTAGTACTTGGCAATTTCAGAAAACTGTATGTTATTTAAAAATACGTGACAAATCACGAGGCCAGGCAATCTAGAGATCTGACTGCTGGTTTGCGCGGGAAATACTGCATACTTTTTAGATAAAAGGAGTCTATGATAAGCGCACGTAGGAGATGATAGACAGAGAGCTAATATTTAGAGCTAATGTATTGGAAAGAAATAGGACAAGTTTACGTGCGCACACCACAGCCTCCCTTTCTTTGAACAGTTTGGGATCATACCATAGTACCATAAATAATAATTGACAAAGAGTTCGCAAAGGAATTCAACGGAAATATTTATACAATTGTTTACTACCAGTACAAATAATTATTTTATTTTCTGCTGAAAAGCGTATAACTATATTAAGTACTAGATATTATGGAGTTAGGGGTAATCAAATAGATTTGAAATTTGGTACTCCGTATTTCGTTCACAATTCACCATTTAACAATGGAAATTAACAATACAATATTTGGATTCTACAATTTTTAGGTAAAATCAATGAATCCAATGAGTATTATCAAATGCAGATTTTATATAAAAATAAAGAAAAATAAGTTTCTTTATTTCGAAAATATTTAGAAAAAATCGAATCAAAACATCAATAACGTAATATTTATTGTTCATTATTAGGGATGTACCGACTGTAGGTCTGGCCGACTAACCGACTAGCCGATTGTTCGGCCAGTAAAAACCGACTTGTCGGCCGACTGTTCGGCTTTGCTAAAACCGGTTTATAAATGCGACAGACAGTGTGTTTTTTTTTTGTATATTTCTGACTACCTTAAAAATTTGCTTTATTTTAATAAAAGGAATCATTAAAGTTCCTTTGTTTTCCAAAAAATGTGTTAAATTTGTTTGGATAATTTTAACATTTCTTTTTTGTAGTAACTCAGTACAAAAATTAAGAATAACACAATTTAGGGCCAGTTTATCTTAACGCTGTGTTAAAAATTAAATCGCAATTAAATATTTAATTGCGGTTCTGTACACCGGGTTTAATTGTATTACATACTATTTCAATTTTAATAAAAAAAGCCGACCGATCGGCTGTTTAGCCGACCAGTCGCCGACTGCCAGCCGACGACGAAAAACGGCCAAATAGTCGGCTTATCCGACCGGTCGGCCACTAGCAGGGATGTTGCGGATGCAGATTTTTCAACATCCGCGGATGCGGATGCGGATGCGGATTTTTGGGAGCTCACATCCGCAGATGCGGATGCGGATGCGGATCTCAAGTTTTTTTTTAAGAAACTTAGTATATGTACAGAAATCAGTTAAAAAAATGGGGGTTTTTAATATTTTTATTTAATAAACAAATTTTTCGATTAATTCTTTCACTTTGTTAGCAACTTTTCCATACAGTTCCGTGCACACAAAGTCAGTAAAAAAATTGCGCCCTCTTAAATTATACCTTGGTGATAATTCTTGTATCAGTCTGCGAAAACCGAGTCCCTCTACAAAATTAAACGGTAAATTTTGAAGTGCAATCATTTCTCCGATGAGTTTGTCACTTTTTTTCGAATTTGAATTGGTAGTATCCCACTTTTTTTGTTTTTGAACTGCTTCCTCTATCGAAAGTTGTTTCTTTGCTTCTTGTAGTGGAGTGAGGATTTTATCTAAAAATAAATACACACATAAATTATAACTTGTTATGGAAATTAACAAAAATAAACGGATGCAAAATAGATTTTAAATAACGAAACTTTTATTGCATCGACTTTTTTGTATTAAATACAAAATAAACCGACTTTGGGCTTATCTGCTGTTAACATTTCTGTTAATTTTAATTAATTCCTTAAAGCAGCTTATCTGATAATCTATTAAGAATAATATACTTTTAAGTAATTAATAAAAGCAAAATGCTTTATTAAGGCTAATAAATAAACACTGTTGATAGTAAAACTTACGTGCACCAGCTTTCATCTTCTGCATTTGTTTTTCGTTATTCGAACTTTCGAACAAACAAAACTGTTCTGGGTGCATGGATTTCAGATGATTTTTCAAAGACGAAGTGGTACGACCCTTGCGAGAATATGTTTTATTACATATTATACACTCAGCTTTATTTCGATCATCATCTGGTTTAAAATAAGTCCAAATCTCACTTTGCATCGGTGGTGCCATTGTAGATTCACTTGTCCAATAACATCCAAAAACAAAACGTTCACAATTCGCGCAACCCCGACTAAACACGTTCTGATGTGCGAAACGGAACACCGAAAGTAGAATTCTTGTCTTCCTATTGGTCAGTACATCACGAGTGCACGCTATGCGTCACTCGTCGGCTCCAACTAATTTATTTCTTGTCGCGACTTGCACCACATTTACATCCGCATCCGCATGAGTTCCGCATTGATTATAGGGTATTCCACGATTTTTTTTTAATGCACTACACGAAAGAATATCGTCTACAAAATGCGAAGATGTGGTCAATATTTTTTTTTTACTTTTCAATAACTCAAAAAAAAAAAAGTTAAATTTAAAGTAATTTTTTTCCCGCGGTTAAGTTGTGCATTACGTACGTCATGATGACGTACGTAACGCTGACCAATGGGATCAGCGTAGCGATGTGGCAACTCCGCTCACGCTGCTTTAAAGTTAGACGACATCGGTATTTAGCCATCTTGAATTCTTATTGGGTTATGATAGGTTAGGTTTATTTATGTTTGGTCGATCTTAGTGTTAACGTTTTGTAATTTGCTCTCATTGACGCTTAAAATAATTTAAAAAGTCAGTCGTTTCCATTATTTGACATTGTTTGTTTAAACACGGTGAGTAGAATTGGCCGTTTAATATTTACCACTTACCAAAACCTTTTACAGCGACTTACAACTTAAAATTGTGTAGGAAGATTATCTGGGAAAATACGGCACAGAATAAATAGTCACAATGGAAAGTGAATATGAGCAAGCTACTTCTACCAATCTCCCTGTAGTTGATGATGTAATGATAGATTTGTATTATCGAAGAAATGTGAATTTTCTGATACCAGGTGTTGAAAATGTGAAAACCGAACGGTAAAGTGTACAACGTAATAATGATTTGATAGTAATTATTCATTGTTATAGTGGAGCTCGTGCAACTTACGGCGACGATGCTGTTGGTTATGTGCAGTTGAGACGACACGATGAGATTTGTACTGTCAAAGCTTTGATTGCACCAGAACATAAAGTTCGCCTAAAAGGCTATGAAGTTTCAGTAAGAATAAATGAGTCTGAACAATGCATAATTGACTCAAAGTGTTATGACTGTGCTGCAAGTGAAGGTATGAATGATTTTATGTTGTATGAGTGTATGTATTACGTCTACTTTTCAGGTGGTTGTAAACATGGTGTAGCCTTACTGTTCTGGTTATACAGACGTACCTTGGAGCCTTCAGTGACTTCTGTTGAATGTTATTGGAGGAAGTCTACTCTGTCTAAAGTTGGCAGTACTATAAAAGGGCAAAGAATGAGAGAGTTGTTTAATTTTCGGCAAGTTCCTTCTTTACCAACAAAAGGAACGGCATTTTTGGACAAAGTAATTTCTACCGCATTAAAATCAGATAGTCATTCAATTCTTGCTACAATGTATAAGAGTGAAGTGAATATTTTGGAGAAAGCTTCGTTGTACCATTTATGTCTTTCTTATAAAAAAACGACTGATGCACCAAATGCAGAAGACTTCATATCGTTTTGCCAAAATAATTTAAATAGTGAAATTTGCAAAAGTATAGATACTTTAACAATATTGCAGTCACAATCTAAAGCCTGGTTTGATGTTAGATATGCGAGAATAACAGCTTCAAAGCTGCATGAAGTTGCTCACTGCAAAACTGTTGATGGAGCTACAACTGCTGCAGTTCTGACAGCATCAAAATTTAGAGGAACAAAGGCCATGAAAAGAGGCCTTAACCTTGAAGAAGATGTCTTAAAAGTCATAGCTGAGGAGAAAAATATTAAATTAGAAAGAGTAGGAATGACCATAAATCATATGTACCCAATATTTGGTGCCTCGGCAGATGCAATGTCTGATAAATATTGCGTTGAAATAAAATGTCCAATAAAGACAAATACTGTAAAAAATTACATTACGCCAGAGGGTGAAATAACTCCTAAACCATATGCACAACTGCAGCTGCAAGTGTTTCTTAGTAAAAAACAATGGGGTTTATTTTGCGTTGCATCTCCATCTTTTGAAACGGACAGAAATGTGACTATAAAGGAAATTCCTTTGGATGAAAATTTTTGTCACAATGTAATGGAGTAGGCACAAGCTTTTTGGAAAAAAGCGATTTTTCCAATTTTAATTAACTGATGTTTTCAATAATTATACTTATTTATTTCATAATTATTTCTTATTCATTTCAATAATAAATAAATCTAAATCCCGTTATACCCCAATCCCCTAGTATCAATAAAAAAAAGTTAAATGCTTCTATTTATACAATTAATTTATTGTTTCCAATAAAATACAAATAAAAACCATGTAAAAACTATTGTATTAATGGACCTTGCAAATTTATCAAACCACAAGCAACAATTACAATATGATCCAAAAGTGGCACCAAATTATGATCTGTGGTAGCATGTGGACCCAACATTCGAAATTCTCTGATCCTACGAATTAATCTTTCAATGTGGATCCTCAACGCTGCGACAAGTTTCGACTGACGTACCTCATCCTTCGTCATTTTTCTGGTGCTTGTGACGCTGGGAGGTCTGACTAGATTCACCTTTTTTTTCTGGAAAAGCCCTGCTACTTGCTTGAAGCCCCTATCGGTCATTACAGTTGCATTTTCAGGTACAACGGTCAAATACTCTGATTGCTTAATTATTTCTACATCTGATGTGCGACCTCCAAACCCTTCTGATATAAAATTAATTAGCCCATTTGGAGTACTTGACACTAAATACTTGCATGTTACAAGTTTTATAATTGCTCCAGGTTAAAGCTTGCTGATAAGCTGCACTAGGTCTTTCAACCTGTATTTCGAAGCAATCAATGATTGCTTCAACATCTTTATAATACGTCTGAAACTGCCTAGGTAGAACTCGCTGAATTTTACTTTTCTCAGGCCAAAAAATTAACTCATTGAGTTTTGTAGCCATTTTTGGCAATGTTTTTGAAAATATATTACTGACACCACTAGTGCTTAATGCAAAATCTGTCCCTAATCGTACAAATTGGTCATCTGTTCGTATTTTCTTAAGAACGATATAAATATGTTCTACAGGAACTTCTAATTCTTCTTGGAGTAATTTGATGAAAAAAAATTCTGACTTGGGCAAGCCCAGATAAAATCTGCTATTATTTTCAATTTTGAATATTTCCACTTTCACCAATAGTTCTTTGGATATCATATTAGTTTCATGCAATGACTCCGATGATGGCTCATAAACACTTCCACTTTGGAGTGAAAGGGAGGATGATGACAATGATGTCGATGATCCCTGAATAGGTTTGTGGGGGCTTTGATATATTTGTGACGATAATGATCGAAGAGTGTTTGTGCTTTTATCTGCCACTTCAACTGAGGTCATTGATGACTGATCTTTTGTGCTAACTCTTGTCTGAGTTGCTTTTCTAAGAGTTCTCCTTTTTGTTCTTAAAGGAGAAATTGATTTTTCTGGCGATTTTGCACTAACAAACATGCCAGATGGTGAAGCCACTGTTTTTAATTGCAGTTCTTCTACATCCTCTGTTACATCCTGTGAAGTACCAGGTACAGTAGGTTCAGGAAACAGTTTCCTTCGAAGCCCTCTACTGTGCTGTTGTGTTTCCATCTTACGTTTCCTTGAAGTTGGTGTGAATTGGGACGAAGTTTCTTTCCTCACCATGCTTCTTGGAACCACATTGTCTTTTAACATTAGGCGTGTACCCATTAATTTGAAATGAATCCAATTTTCAGCATCCTTTTCCAACTTTATTAAAGAAAATTTGTTAATAAGGTGATACAAGTAGATACCGACATACAAATTTTTGAAATATTTACTATACTTACATCAAAATGATCTTCACAACAGTACAAACTTTTCCCAGGTATGTATGTTCTTCCCACAGATTCAAACCATAACTTCCTCCGATCCACTTTTTGGGGAACAGTAAGAAATAATTTTTCTGGATTATTTGTAGAGTTATTATCACACCCAACGAAGAAACACTGTTTCGCCATCGTGCCAATTTTTTCTATTTAATTTGTTTATATTTAAGGAATAAAACGAACAGGCCAAGTTGATCAAAAACACGTGCACACTCTGACCTACCTCAATATAATAAACCAGCAGGTTTGGCAACACAGCATCGCTGCCATCGCTTCAAAGTGATTGGTTACACTTTTAACCGCGAAATACTGCAACTTTGAGCCGGCCTCTCACTCTTCTATTATTTTGACAATTTTTTTCAAAGCGATTATGTTTTATAAATAGTTCAAATTTGTTTTTTGTACATGTATTTAGATATTGTTTCAGAATGTTTAGTTAAAATTTGATTTTAAACTTTAGTGGAAAACCCTATTGCGGATGCGGATGTCCAAATCAATGCGGAAGCTCCGCATTTGCGGATGCGGATGCGAATATTCGCAACATCCCTGGCCACTAGTCGGTACATCCCTATTCATTATACTTAGTTAACAACTTCACCACGCGATTTCTAATATCGTATCATTTATTTCACATTATTAGTGATTGCCATATTACTTGTTCTGCCCGTGAAATTGATTAAGAAATCTATATCTTAATTATCTCTTAAAAATGTATCTATTATCTGAAATTATTGATGTGGAAATATCATTTCTACAGATAAGAATATTACAAAAAATTGTAAACTCTTTTACAGCTATGCAGTATAATGAATCCTGTTCACTAAAATTTTAGAAAAAATAAGTTCAATCATTCCCGAGAAAACATTGAATAAATATGTTACTGTTAAGTAAAAAATTAAATTATTTGTTTATTGAGCAAAAAATCTATTTGAAATTTAAATTTGTAAAATTTCTAATAATTTGAAATTCAATCATTCTTAAAAAAAAAATCGAAAAACCGAAAATATTTGTAACATCTATAACAGAAAAAAAAGAGTTGCACAAATTATAGTTGTTTTTTTTAATTTCAGATTCATCAAAATTGTTAAGTCTCTTTTTTATTCATTTCACATTATGAGTCATTCCCATATTACTTGTTATGCGCGTGAAGTTGATTAAGATTTCGTTCCAAACCCCAAACTTAACGCTGAAAAGCAAAACAGCAAGCAAGTACGTGAAAACGGATAACGGTACTGTATCGATTTCTGCTTAGACATGGGGCAAATCAGCACTTAATCTAAACTATGTTTCGCTTCGCCCAAGTGCGACATGCGGCAAATCTGCACCAAACAGCAGTGGCGAAAATCCCTCGGACGCGGTCTGGTCTATGCGCCAAACCAGTTCTCAGGTGACGCTATGTTTTCGTATTCTATAGGGGTCATGAAACGTCGAGAAAACATAAAAGTAGCAAATAACCCGATTGAATCAATTACAAAACTTCCTTAGCTTAGCTGAGACTGACTTAGCACTTAGACTATACTGGGCTTTGGTGCGCCAAGATTTGAGCCCCTCTGTTCCAGATGCCACTATACCAACAATGTTTTAGAGTTTGGTAATTTAAGTCTAAACAACTTTAGTTCATTCTTTTATATTCAAATTCTCACTCCTTTCTCTTTCACTATTTACTCTTTTTAAAAATACAATATACAAATCATTTTTACATTTATTTTAATAAACTGTTTACAAGTGTCACTAAATATTGTTATTTTGTTACATTTTGCTACATGTATTTAAATCAACAAAACAATTTCGGGAGTTTTTGTTTTATACGATGTAGTTCCAGAAGTAAGAAAATGTGATGGTTTTACAAGGCGGCCAATATCTACATTGTCTCCATCCATTCGAGGTGTGTTACTTCACAATCTTACTAAAGAAATAAACATAAATATACCTATTTTAGTTTTAGACAATGTAGTTCCAGAAGTAAGAAATTATGATTATTTTACAAGGCATCGAATATCTTCTACATTGCCTCCATCCTTTCGCGGTGTGTTACTATACAATCGTACTAAAGAAATAAAAATAGATATGTTAATTTTAGGCACAATAACGTTTTCAAACATATCGCCCCCGACGTCAAATGATTCAACGAAAGCTTATTTTGTGTTCTCTAAAAATGGCCTTATAAAATCAACAAACGAAGTCATTGCTTACGCCTTAATTTTATTGGAAGATCACTTGGACATACAAAGTAAAAATGGATCGTGGGGATCTTGGGACGGAACTAATAAAACTTGGCCTTCTATACCGAAAGATTCTTTACAGCTTACACCCAATTTGTGGAATCCGTTCACAAGTATGTATTCATCAGATGACTGTCCAATTAAAGTTTAGCTAATGTGGTTTTAGATGAAGTACAGACCTGCAATTTCATAATTGGAGCTGCCAACAATTGTTGTAAAGAACATTGTTATAATGAACCTTTAAAACCTAATACTAAATATTGGTTAATGGTTAGAGCTCTGACGAATCAAGCATATAATGATAGCGCTCCACTGTCTTTTCACACAGGTAAGTTTTTCTTTTAACGTTACAAACATTTCAGTAACATTTTTTTAACTGAATGTCGACATCGTGCCTTCACCTATAGAGCATAAAATACAACACCAGACTAATGAATGATTATTACAACATAATACAATTCAAGTCACTTTTTGACGCTGTAGTTAATAATATTGAAAACAACTTTAAATAAAAAGAGAGTACGACAGACGGGAGACGGCGGACAAACAGACTATATTTTCGTATTATAGAGGTCATGAAACGTCAAGAAAACACAAAAGTAACGAATAACCCGATTGAATCGATTACAATACTTCCTTAGCTTACGCTCTGGAAGTAAAAATCCCAGTGCTTGTATATCACCAAAACCATTTGTGTAATTTTTGTTTTAGATAACATTTTAACTGAAACAACGCCAGTATCTACAACAGTTTTGCCAGAAACAAGCCAGTCTAATAATTTTACTTCGCCAACAGTTCAAACATCTGCATCGTATCCATCGCTTGGCAGTGTGTTCCTTCACAATAGTGCTAAAAAATAATACATATACTAATTTTAGACACAATAACGTTTCAAAAAATATCGCCCCCGACATCAAATGATTCAACGAAAGCTTATTTTGTGTTATCTAAAAATGACCTTGTAAACTCAACAGACGAAATCATTGCTTACGCTTTATTTTTATTGGAAGAGCACGTTGACATACAAAGTAAAAATGGATCTTGGAATGGAACTCTTAAAAATTGGCCTTCCACACCGAAAAATTCTTTACAGCTTACACCCAATTTTTGGAATCCGTTTTTAGGTATGTAACAAGTAATAGTAAAGCTAAATTGTAGCTATTGTAATTTTAGAGGACCGACACATCTGCAATTTTATAATTGGGGCTAGCAGTGGTTGTTGTAGAGTACATTGTTATAATGAACCTTTAAAACCTAGTACTAGTTATTGGTTAATGGTGAGAACCCTGACGAATCAAGCTTATAATGACAGCCCCCTGTTATTTTTTCAAACAGGTGCTTTTTACCAGAGTGTAATTTTGTATTTTTTGTTTTATTTGTACTATCCTATGACATTTACAGCTTCCGAGGATAGCTACCACTACAATACTTATTACATTTCAGTAGGAGTATTAATTCTTGTCATTTTGGTAACGGTTGTCCTGGTATACATAATATACAAAATAAGAAGACGAAACAATCAAGCAACTATTACCCAAGAAGAAGACATGATGTTAATCGTAAATCAGAAACCTCTTGAAACCACAGTCATCGACTTCAACAGTCTTCAAAATCATTGTTCGCAACCTACATTCCTTACAAGTTTAAAAATACAGTTCAATGTGAGTTTTTCATAAAAATATAATTGTATAACCGGTTGCCTACTCAATAACAGACCATATTTTGAAATGTTCTTAGTCCATTTCAGATCCTGTGCCCCATAGTTCTTGTAGAATTGGTTTGCAGCGTAAGAATATTAACAAGAACAGAGATCGAAACCGAATTATACCTTGTAATATTTTATAATTCCAATAAAATCATTTAACTGACGCAGTTTTTTAGACGATACCAACAGAGTCGTCCTTAAGCCAATGGAAGGTGTAGGAACAGAGGACTATATAAATGCTAGCTACATTGATGTAAGTTTCATTGTTTACCCCACGAAAAATGTAAATTAAAAATTCAGGGCTACGATCGCTCAAAAGCTTACATCGCCTGCCAGTCACCCAAATTTTGCACAATTAAAGACTTTTGGAGAATGATATGGCAAGAAAATGTTAGTGTTATAATAATGGCGACAAATTTTTTTGAACATAAAAAGGTAAAGTTTTCCTGACGACGATTCTCTTATTAATAATTAACCTGTCTACTTTTCAGCGAATGTGTGCAGAGTATTGGCCCCAAAGCGAATCAGAGGTGTATGAATATGGTGAAATTACAATAAAATTGCTTCGCGAAACCACTTTTGAACTATATGCTTACCAAGAGCTTGAAATAGCTTACGGTGACGAGAGCAAAAATATACGCCATATTCACTTCATGTGGAGTTTTGACGATTCCAATATGTTTTATCCGAATGACGTTTTACCAGTTGTCAAACTTATAAGACAACAGTATGAAAATTCAAGTGGACCGATTGTCTTTCACTCAGGGTTGGTCGTTGATTGTTTTACAGAATTAACAGTCAGCTAACATACTGATTTCTAGTTATGGTACAGGTGGAGTGGGAATTTTAATTTTATGCGACTTAGCACTACAGATGATCCGCAAAGACAATAAAGTTGACTTTTTCAGCTTAACAAGAACACTTAGAGATCAACGTGCGTCTATGATCACCAACATGGTAATAACGAAATTAAAAAAAATCTCTACTGTTAATTTTTATGCTTGATTAACTAATACTATTTTTAACCTTAGGAGCACTATATTTTTTCACACTTACTTATGAACGAATACTCTTTGGAATATTCAAATCCCTTTCAATATTCCATTGGACAAAATATAAAACATGACGATATAAAACAACAGTTTAATTATTTAGAAACTCTCCGCCAGTACGATAATATTTTTCAAGAAGTTAGTCTTCAGTACTGCATTCCTCGACATCCTTTTGAAAGTGTGATAGGTTAGTACTTGGTAGCAAAACTAAAAAGGTATAGTTACAACAAGATTAAACATATTTGTAGTTGCACGATATGGGCAGAGGAGAAAATATTTAATTTCTCGGGAACCAAAAGAAGAACAGCTTATAGATTTCTGGAAAATGGTGGCAAGGAAATCGATCGGTTGGGTTTTGTTCCTAAACAAGGTAAAAAGCTCAAGATATTAAACTAATATTAATTTTACAGTGTTATTATACCCTTTCTATGATGTATTTTTCAATCAGGAATTACCATTGTCGACTCGAGTAACTGGATCTATAGAAGTGGTAAATATTACTCGGAAACAAGTTGTAAACACAGCCTACGGCCTGATGACGGAGGCATCTTTACTGATATACAATAAAATCTCGAAAAAGGTAACACTGTGCTCAAAGACAAAAGTCCAATCACTAACGTCTTTATGAAACATTACAGAAGATCCACGACCACAAATTATATATCTTTCAATTTAACAACTGGAAAGAAAATCAGCTGCTCCCGAATTCAGTATGTAACTTTATTTCTGTGATAAACTATATTCATAGCAAAACAGCCAAGGAAAAATTAGTTTTAGTCTCTTGCAGGTATGTTAATCTAATATGGTACTTAGCCTTGATATTAAACAAAAAATGTTCATTGTCAAAATTATTTCCAATACACGTCCCTTTATGTTATCTTTTTTTTAAATATTTTTTTTAGCGATGGATTTACAGCTTGTGGCTTATTTGTTGTTTTCTCATACATCGTAGAGAAGTATGAAAATGAAGTAGAAATTGATGTGTGTAATGCTATACGACTTGCAAGAAGAAGTGGAAGATCGTTCGTTAGCAGAACGGTAAGTGATTTGAATCGGAATGATAATTAACTTATGAGTATGTCTAAAACATCAGTTGCCCATTCGTGTACATGAGGTTGGTATTATCAAAATAAAAAGCGAAAACTATAACTGGCAACAGAAATCTTCCAAATCACTTCTTTTTATAACATTTTCTGAACTGCAAATTTTTTCTTTTCTGCTTAAAAACACAATCCTAAAATTTGTTTTAACTGTTTAAAAAGTGTTTGTTGTTGTGAAAACACACTATGCAGGGTGTCTCAGAAATAAGTACATTAATTTTAATCAGTTATAGAGCTCATTGAACTCAACAACTTTTTTTAGTAGAGTTTTGTCAAGAACTTTTTAATTATCAAGTTAAAAATTGTTAAAGTTATATCCCAATTAAGGTTACCCGCCTATGGATCCTCAGTCACCCATGGACACTAATAATTATTATAATTAATAATTTATGGTCAGAAACAGTTACGATACAGATACGTAGCTAATCTAATCTTGTCAATGTGACAAACATTTAGAGAGAAATTGAAAATCGTGCTCCCTAATGGCGTACGGAATTTCATCGGCCCAAATGTGGGTGTTGAACACCTTCCCTCGTGTAACCGACCTCATCAGTTGATGGTATAAGAGATAGAAAATTTGCTTGTTCATTTATTTTGCTATTAACCCAGTCACAAAAGTTTTGCCTACGTGGTAAGTCTGTTAGTTTCAATAACTGAACTTTCTGGTTCTGAAAGGGGTACATTTGTTCTCTGAGTATCCTCCAAATACTACTCTCCGATACATCACACTAGACAGTGATACGTGCTAGTGCCCGGTCGAGCTTCGACACTCTTCAAAACAGCCTCTTCAATATTAGCAATTCTATTACTACGTAACTTACCCCGATCCTGAGGTGCAGGTTTAAAAGATCCGTACTCTCGAAAATGCTGCAACGTTCTTAAAACTGTGTACATTTGGCAGACGACGATTTGGGAGGTTTTCTGAAAAAATTCGTTGGACGCGAGTGCCGTTTCCTCGAGCTTCACCGTACGTTAAAACGATATCGGTGCATTCCAGATTTGAAAACAAAGCCATTTCAACACATTTCGTCTATAAATTAGAGATCTGTGCAAACAAACTTTAAAGAGACAACGTTTAATAAAAACATTGACATAAAAATGATTGTCACTGTCAAAATGGTTGCTAGGGTACCTTCTTCATTGTTGTAGTGTTGTTATTATTTAAGTTATTATTTAAGGTGAACATAGACGGCTCGTGAATATATGGCTGGGAAAATTCGAAATTCGCTCGAAAATGCTAGATAAAAAAGTTGTTCCGTTTCACGAGTTCTGTTACTGGTTAAAATTAATGTGCTTATTTCTGAGACACCCTGTATGTGTATTTGCATTTTCAATCGTTTCTTTTATTGTTTCAGAAACAACTGACATTTATATACAAATGCATCAGGGATTATATCGAAAACTATGATAAATACCAACAAATTATAAATAGTAAATGATGTAAAAAATAAAAATAAAAATATTAAACAGTGGATATTGTACTTATTTATTCAAAAAACGCAAACCTCAAAGAGTTTTAGGTGTTCAGTTTACAATTGCCTCAATTTCAAAAGAATTTAAGCTATTTTTGACAAACACATATTTGTGCAGCATACAAGATTATTATTTTTCTGGTTGCTTTTTGTATTTAATTATCTACTTGGAAGATGAATTATTATTATAATTCATATTAATTGTTGCATCTGACATGTATAGAGTTTTTATACTTCGGCACGAAGAAACTTTACTTGACTTATGTTATTTATATTTCACCTGTCAATTATAGCGTCACCTGGGAACTGGTTTGGCGCATAGACCGCGTCCGAGGGATTTTCGTCTCTGCTCTTTGGTGCAGATTTCCGCATGTCGCACTTGGGCGAAGCGAAACATAGTTTAGATTGAGTGCTGATTTGCCCCATGTCCAAGCAGAAATCGATATAGTACCGTTATCCGTTTTTACGTAGTTGCTTGCTGTTTTGCTTTTAAGCGTTAAGTTTGGGGTTTGGAAAGAAATCTTAATCAACTTCACGCGCAGAACAGGTAATATGGGAATGACCCATAATGTGAAATAAATAAAAAAAAGACTTAACAATTTTGATGAATCTGAAATTAAAAAAAGCAACTGTAATTTGTGCAACTCTTTTATTTTGTTATAGATGTTACAAATACTTTCGATTTTTCTTTAAGAAAGATTGAGTTTCAAATTATTAGATTCGACATTTTACAAATTTAAATTTCAAATAGATTTGTTGCTCGTTAAACAAATAATTTAATTTTTTACTTAACAGTAACATTTTTATTTAATGTTTTCTGGGGAATGTTGAACTTAGTTTCTCTAAAATTTTAGTGAACAAAATTCATAATGCCGCATACCTGTATTCTTATTTGTGTAAAAATACACTCACCGGCAAAAAAAGCGAATCACCCAAAGTTTGCATTGAAAATGGTTCCTTTTTTAAACGTTTGGCTACAGTCAATATCAGTTTTGAAAAAATCACACAAAATATATAGTGAACCAAGAGCTATAAGGTTATATGGCCATCATAAAATCATCCCATTGTGTCGAAGTTAAGTTGTTTACAATAGAAAAGGTTTTAGGGTCGTAAATAACGTGTCCACTACAGCTCGACCGGCTCTTGCAGTTTCGTTCAGGGGCGGCTTTCACTAAATATGAAAATCCACCACTCCACTATTTCTTTGCTACCTGCAGCCGCTGAGGGTTCCGAAATAACCACTCGCTTTGAAAGCCGGCCCTGTTAAATATGAGCAAGAAATGTGTAAAAGATGATTTATTGCCAACCGGTAAGCTTAGTGCGAACCACACAAAGGGGGTATTTATTTGCGGTCAACTAATTTTATGATGGCCATATAACCTTATACCTCTTGGTTCACTATACTAACACTAGGTTTTTGGTTCTTTTTTGTACATGATATGAACCTCAAATCTGAAGATGATAAGTTTTTTCCAACAATGAGATTTGCAGTTGTGACGTTTAGAGGGCATTAACAGACGGTTTGTTATTGTGATTTGATGAAAACTGTGTCAATTGTCAATTAACATGAGTATTGTGGCCATTAATGCAGCACGAGCAATTGCTCTTATCCAGGATGGTCGAAGTTAACGGTACGTTGCCAATACGTTAGGGGTATCACAAGTGAGCATTCACAGAACTGTACGACGGGTTAATGAGACTGGATCATACAGCCGAAGACCTGATTCGGGTCGTCCAAAGAAAACATCGGCTCGGGATGACCGTTTTTTAACGCTGACCGTGTTCCGTAATAGGGATACGACCACAGTTGAGGCCAGAAATCAACTTGAAGAAACACGAGGAGTTAGTGTAAGTGAAAGAACTGTAAGAAAAAGGTTAACTGCAGCTGAATTGAGGGCCCGTAGACCTGCAAGTGGCTCAGAACTTCTCCCACGACACAGAGTAGCCCGACTTGCATTTGTTCGAGAACACGTTAACTCGGATCTTGCCCAATGGGGCCAAGTACTCTTTACAGATGAGTCGCGTTTTTGTCTACGTTCTCCTGACGGCCGTCAAAGAGTATGGCGAAGAAGAGGCGAAAGGTAGGCTCAGTGCAATATTGTTTCCAGACTAAGTTTTCATGGAGGTTCAGTGATGGTCTGGGCAGGAATTTCTGCCGAGGCTCGCACGGAACTTGTAGTGGTGGATAGAGGCACAATGAATGCTGATCGATATGTAGCAAATATTCTTTAAGAGCATGTCGTACCTTTTGCTTCTTTTATTGGCGATAATTTTATTCTAATGCAAGATAATGCTAGACCACATATCGCTAGAATTGTACAAACCTACCTCGACGAATTCGGGATTTCACGTATGGAATGACCAGCACGCAGTCCCGACCTGAATCCAATTGAGCATGTGTGGGACATATTAGGTAGACGTATCAGAGCACGTGTGCCGGCCGTACAACACATAAGAGATCTTGCAAATGCGCTAGTTGAAGAATTTGACCAATTAGCCCAGGCTGAGATTAGACACCTCATAGAAGGCATGGGAAGACGTATGGCAACCGTAATGCAAGCTAGAGGCGGCAACAGTCGTTATTAACGATATGTTAAGTAGTCTTTTGTTGGTTTAATGTAATGGATTTTCTGGTATTTTTTAATAAACTCGTAATTGTTGCAACTTCAGCGAAGGTCCCGTTACCTTTTCATCTCCTTTGTCCTAGATAAACTAATTTGTCTTATAAATGTGACGCACAACAGAATTTATTGAAGATTTCTACAAAAATACTAATGATTCGATTTTTTTGCCGGTGAGTGTAGTTTGTTGTCTCAAACAATTAGATTCCAGTATTTTATTACATTACGTGGATATTGACTACAAGTAGCTATTGTCGGGCAACCAGAGAAAATTAGCAGTGATACTGTTTAAAACTGTAAATGCAGTATATTTGAATTTGGAAATAAATTATTTGTTTCCATGTCTTATGTATCAGTGACAATTATGTTGATTCCAACCCAAATCTATTTGATGGCCCCTAACTCCATAATATCTAGTACTTAATACAGTTATACGCTTTTCAGTTGAAAATGAAAGAATTATTTGTACTGGTAGTTGTAACCAATTGTATAAATATTTTCGTTGGATTCCTTTGCGAACTCTTTGGCAATTATTATTTATGGTACTATGGTATGATCCCAAACTGTTCAGAGAAAGGAAGGCTGTGGTGTGCACACGTAAACGTGTCCTATTTCTTTCCAATACATTAGCTTTATATATTAGCTCTCTGTCTATCATCTCCTACGTGCGCTTATCATAGGCTCCTTTTATCTAAAAACACGTATTTTTAAATAACATACAGTTTTCTGAAATTGCCAAGTACTATTAAACTACAAAAATAAATAAACGGGTAAATTATTTTCTCAAATTATAAGTCCGAACTAAACATGCAATGTGAAAAGTTAATGCCGTGAACCCTACTAAGTATAAATTAAATGTCATTGTTTGCTAACTACATAACTGATTAAACTTATTATTTTAATAAGGTAAGGTATTAAACTAGACAGAGACTTGAATACTTTTTTTACTAATTTTAATAACTCTTGTAAAAGAGTAGATATTTAATAATAAAGCAATACATATTATTATACGCAAAAAATGTATTTGCATGCTTTTGCATAAACTTCCTGCACTTATAATTTATGAACAGTATTTTGGACGTTGCCCAATTAATTGATAAATAATAGTATGTTGATGTAAAAAGAGTATCATTACATTACTTCATATTCTTTTAATTTTCTTTATGTAGTACATCCTGTTTCCAAAATCTCAAGAAATTAGGGTTATGGTAATTCAATTCAATCTGGATGCTTAGGGTAAAAACTCAATAAACAACAAATGAAAAAGTATGTTATTTTTTCAAATTTTTATAACATTTACTGCTGTAAAAGTTGGAGATGACGTTATATGATGGGGAGGATAATTACAAATGTTGGTCAGCGTTTTATCAACCGGAAACGAGAGACCTATGTTTTCCGTATTATAGGGGTCATGAAACGTCGACAAAACATAAAAGTAGCCAGTCGCCCGATGAACTTGATTACAATACTTCCTTAGCTTACGCTCGAGACATAAAAAAAAATAAACAATAACATTTGGATTTAATAGCTTTTGATATCTGGTATACCTAAACAGTGAGTGAATTTTATACTGCTATTATTACCATTACATATAACCATCTACTTAAATTAAAAAAATTTACCCATAAATAAGTTATTGTAAATTCATTTTTATTTACACGCGTATAATTGCACAACAATAATTGTTAGTCAAATAGAATGATAAAGAAAGGCAATGTCATATTAAAAAACAAATTACTCGTTTCGATGTAAGGTACCTACCTTGTATAAGTTAACAACATACATCTATTTAGTTATAGGTAAAATTATAATATGGAATTTATTCTTGAACTAAGTAGTAAATTACAAGTCAAAAATGTATTAGGCATTATTGTCAAGAAACATTCCAATTCTGTTTCAAATTTGCAAGCATTTTATGTCAAAAGCTTATTTTTGTAAACGTTCCAGTAATAAATAATTATGAATGTTTAGGTGGATTCTGCTTCGAAATTTTAATTTTCATATTGCTTTTACAACATTTTAATTTGAAAAATTAAAAATGTATCTATTATTTGTGATTATTGATGTAGAAATATCGTTTCTACAAATAAGAATGCTACAAAAAATTGTGAACTGTTTTACTGGTATGCAGCATTATAAATCTTGTTCACTGAAACTTTAGAGAAAATAAGTTCAATCATTCCCAAGAAAAAATTAAAGAAAAATGTTACTGTTTAGTAAAAAATTAAATTATTTGTTTATCGAACAACAAATCTATTTAAAATTTAAATTTTGTAAAATTTCGAATCTGATAATTTGAAACTCAATCTTTCTTAAAAAAAATCGAAAATATTTGTAACATCTATAACAAAACAAAAAGAGTTGCACAAATTACAGTTGTTTTTTTTTTAATTTCAAATTTAGCAAAATTATTAAGTCTTTTTTTTATTTATTTCACATTATGAGTCATTCCCATATTGTTCTGCGCGTGAAGTTGAATACGATTTCTTTCCAAACCCCAAACCTAATAACGCTGAAAAGCAAAACAGCAAGCAAGTACGTAACAACGGATAACGGTACTGTATCGATTTCTGCTTGGACATGGGGCAAATCAGCACTCAGTTTAAACTATGTTTCGCTTCGTCCAGTGCGACATGCCGCAAATCTGCACTAAACAGCAGAGGCGATAATCCCGCGGACGTGGTCTGGTCTATGCGCCAAACCAGTTCTCAGGTGACGATAGACTAACATTTAGACACGGTTGCTATAAATAAGCTCATAACGCCCTAGGACATTATAAAAAGTTTAGCGCTAGTTACGATTTCATTTATAACACCCGTTCAACGATTTTTGATGGCATTTCCATCTTTTAATTTAAACTTGCCAAATGAGGCTTAAATTGACCCTTTTCCTGAGATGATACAGAGTGAGACAACATCGCGCAGGCGAAATCAGATTTTTGGAGCGCCAAGTTAAAATTAATGAATGAGCGACAGATTACGCATGTGTAGCCGGTTGAATTCTGTCAAAGCGGTTTGTTGTCACAGGCCTTTGCTTTGCTGCCGGAGTGCCGGATACTATTTCCAACGTGGTTTTGAAGATGCGTGCGCACGGAAAGTCACCATGGAAGTTTTACGATCTTACAGGAAAAGGGTCAATTAAAAATTCCTTAGCAACATATAGTTTTATCCGTGTAAACGCCGTGTTCAAGTTTATTAGTTTTAAAATAGTTCAAAACTCGGTCAGAACTTAATCTATTTGTTGAAATTTGTGAAAAATTAAATCTTATGTGTACCACGAGCGTTATTAGAGTCATATATAATGTTCATGACGCTCTAGGTACATAAATAACAATTATGGCCTCCTAAAAAATGATGATGCCATCATACAAGTTTTACGAAACAATTAATGTACTTTAAATTTTGAAAAATAACACTCCTACATGCATGATTTATAAATCCGTGTTGATATTTTACCTTATAGACATCCATAATAACAAGTATTCACGCAAATTAATATAGGGAAGGTTTTGCTGCATTGCAATTTAATAGTGCCAATAGTCAAATTCTTTAGAAGTATAAACATAAACAATCGATGTAGACTGCAGTTTCGATCTTGTTGGATCTTATCAGTAGAGCCCATCCCATCGAGTTGTCTAACATTTATTGTGTTTCGCTTATGTGCAAAAATCAGCTCTCTTAACAAATTTGAGACTTTTTCAGGGTTAATTTTTTTATTGGGGTTTTTTAAGTATTACACTTGTTTCTATACACAACTTAATAGATCCCAATGAATTATGCAACTGTTTAATTAACAGAATCAACAAAAATAATCTTATCAAAAATGGTACTAGTAACCGAATTTTAAATAAGTTTAATCTTATCTGTCATATATTCCTCGTCGAATTGCTTATTGAGTTTGTGAGACAAGTATAATTTAGTGTCCATCAAAATAAATGTGCAACAATATGAGATTAACTGTTCTGAATTCTTACAACCTTTTAGTTTTATGTGCGGTCATATTTCAACAAACAAATGCAGGACTACCAGTTCGAAAGAAAAACCGTTGTCAGTTAACAATATATAAAGAATCTGATATAGTCTTCTCTCAACGACAAAATTTATTAAGTAGCAATTTTTGGCAAAATGATGACTGGGTGATAAAAGAATCAAGCAGCTTATTAACCAGGCCCCATTTTGAAGCGCATTTTAAAGGTATGTATTTCTGAATTGAAAGCACGAAGAATGTTACCCCCAAGCGTAAGTACGCTAGGACAAATGGTTGAGAAATTTAAATGTATCTATTTTAAAAACAACATGTAGTTGTTTACCTGCAGTTTAACGGTCTTCACATATCTTTATTTAAACTTACAAGAGTTTAAAAAAAAAATTGAAAAATAAAATTTTAGAATTTTTCTAAAAAAACTGGGTTTGTTCTATTGTACTTCGGGGATGAAGGACGTTCTATCTAAATTTTTAAATTTACACACCATAATAAAATTCTTGTCTATTTACTTCTATCGTACAGTCAAATATTTATATACTTTCAAAGTTTGCCAATTCAAGTGTCAATAATTTTTAAGTTTGTTGATCTTTGTTGATAAAGTTTTTAGAAAGGACAAACAGATAAATTGTAAATCTGAGAGCAATCTGCTGTATAATTTTCTGTAAAATTTTGTCGTACAGTTTTCTCTGATTTTTTTCCAAAAACCTATATGCGTAAGATTAAAAGCTATGATGGATTTACAAACCATAGCTGCTATCAGATTTTTAGTAGTGGTAAACAAATTTGATTTATTGTTTACCTTATCTAAACGGAATCCTACATAAACATTGAATTTCACTGTACTCAAAGTAGCACTTTTGAATATTATCTCCAAATAAATACTCAACAGACGACAAACAGACACAGGGACGGATAACTATATGATACAATTTTTGGTGGAGAAGAAGATACAAAATTTACTAAACGCTTTGTTTTATATCTTTTTAAAGTAGACGTAGGATTTCACAAAAATTTCTTCAGTAGTTTCCCCGGTTAGGTGTCTATTAAATCAAAAGACAAACTGATAAATAAACCAAATTAGTGACTATGAAAAGTCGAGACAAGATAAAATCAGGCATTTTTCTAACAGACCTTGTTAAAATTGAATTTGTTTATTCTTTTCAGACTTCAAAACAAAGAAGCAAAATGAATTCGTGGTGAACTTTCCGACTTCTTACAGTTTTGCGGTAAAGGGAACAAGTGAGATAAATTTTTTCGCAGTCGTAGGAAACAACAAAACTCTTTTTCCCTGTGAAATAAGCGAAGCAGAAATCTGGACCATAATTACTATTTTCATAAAGGATAACAACTTGTTTTTTTATAAAAATTATGAAACATTATTGCACAAGTTGCCTCTGGTTCCAAAAGAATTAATGATAGAACCTTCAACACCAGCAAACTTTAAAATCTACGAATGTAAGTGTATACATAATAATGCAGTAGGTACATATTGTTACGATTTACGGGTATTAAAACAACGTGGGCAAGGTTGTTCTGGAGTTGAGAGTTCCTCGACTTCAGGTGAACCGCTTCCAGGCTTTTCTTTATTCGAAAACGGCGCCGTCACTGATAATGTATAGTATATTCCGGTCAACGCCTTATATACTATTCGCATAAGTAACATAATTCTCATTCTTGAATTAACTGTGTGTATGTATGACAAAAAGAATTTTTCACTCTTTATTCGCAGTTTCTGTGCAAAAAAAGTTTAAAAAATGTTTTCTAGAGTAGGTACTTTAAAAACATGTGACTTGTCAAAATATTTTAGTTTATTGATGGCAAATAATTGATTTTTTTTGGATTACAAGAGTCGGTTTGAGGATATGTTTTCCTTGAAAAATATTAAAGTAATGAAATAAGCAATTTAATGTACACATTTTTCCAACAAAATTTCTGAATAAAATTGTTGCCTCACTGAATTAATGTTTTCGGTAACTTAATTAATTTGTTCTTATTAAAATAGTGGATTTTTACTTTTAGATGAGTTTAGAGAAGCCACTAGAACTACTAAGAAACACAACACATTGAAAATTCCAGGTTCCAAAGAGGTCTATTTAATTATCTCTGTCTCTTTGTGCAACACCTGCGTTCTGGTTGCAACATATAATTATGATAACTGTTTAATTGTTTCATCAAACAGCAATAATAATGAAAGGTGGGAAAGATATAAACTAAAAATAAATCCTAAAATTTCCAACCAGGTGAAGTTTAGTCGAATCCAAAATCCCCCACTTAAAAATGGATACTGGAGATTATACTTAACACTAACAGATTACTCAGGAAAAGCAGGTAAATCTTTTGTTGGTGTACTGTTTCCGATATAAACGAAAGTCCTTGTAAGTAATTGGAGTCGCTGTAACAAAACATTTAAAATTTGGGTCGTTGACAACATTACCAAAAATGGAATTCCTCTAACGATCTCGGGTGACAATTCGAATGTAATATAACGATTAATGAGAATGACTTAGCACTTAGACTATAGGTACTGGGTTTTGGTGCGCCAAGATTTGAGCCCCCTCTGTTCCAGATGCCACTATATCAACAATGTTTTAGAGTTTGGTAATTTAAGTCTAAAAAACTTTAGTTCATTCTTTTAAATTTAAAATCCTCACTCCTTTTTTTTCACTATTTACTCTCTTTAAAAATACAATAGACAAATCATATTGACATTTATTTTAATAAACTGTTTACAAGTGTCACCAAATATTGTTATTTTGTTTAAATTTGCTACTTTTATTTAAATCAATAAAACAATTTCGGGAGTTTTTGTTTTAGACGATGTAGTTACAGATGTAACAAAACCTGATAGTTTTACAAGGCGTCCAATATCTACATTGTCTCCATCCTTTCGAGGTGTGTTACTTTACAATCGTCCGAAAGAAATAAAAATAAATATATTAATTTTAGACACAATAACGTTTTCCAACATATCACCTCCAACGTCAGATGATTCAACGAAAGCTTATTTTGTGTTATCTAAAAATGATCTTATACACTCAACAAATCCAATCACTGCTTACGCTTTAATTTTATTTGAAGATCACTTTGACATACAGGGTAAAAATGGTTCGTGGGGATCTTGGGATGGAACTAATAAAACTTGGCCTTCTATACCGAAAAATTCTTTACAGCTTACACCCAATTTTTGGAATCCGTTCACAAGTATGTATTCATCAAATGACTGTCCAATTAAAGTTTAGTTAATGTGATTTTAGATGAAGTACAGACCTGCAATTTCATAATTGGAGCTGCCAACAATTGTTGTAAACAACATTGTTATAATGAACCTTTAAAACCTAATACTAAATATTGGTTAACGGTTAGAGCTCTAACGAATCAAGCATATAATGATAGCGCTCCACTCTCTTTTCACACAGGTAAGTTATTTTTTTTAAACGTTACAAATATTTCAGTAATATTTTTTACACCGAACGTCGACATCATGCCTTCACCTATAGAGCTTAAAGTAAAACACCAGACTAATGAATGATAATTACAACATAATACAATTCAGGTCACTTTTTGACGCTGTAGTTAATAATATTGAAAACAACTTTAAAGAAAAAGAGAGTACGACAGACGGGAGACGGCGGCGAAACAGACTATATGTTTGTATTCTAGGGGTCATGAAACGTCAAGAAAACATAAAAGTAGCGAATAACCCAATTGAATCGATTACAATACTTCCTTAGCTTACGCTCGGGAAGTAGAAATCCCAGTGTTTGTATATCACCAAAACCATTTGTGTAATTTTTGTTTTAGAGAAAATTATAACTGAAACAACGCCAGTATCTACAACAATTTTGCCAAAAACAAGCCAGTCTAATAATTTTACTTCGCCAACAGGTCAAACATCTGCATTGTATCCATTGCTTGGTAGTGTGTTCCTTCACAATAGTGCTAAAAAATAATACATATATCAATTTTAGACACAATAACGTTTCGAAAAATATCGCCCCCGACGTCAAATGATTCAACGAAAGCTTATTTTGTGTTATCTAAAAATGATCTTGTAAACTCAACAGATGAAATCATTGCTTATGCTTTATTTTTATTGGAAGAGCAATTCGACATACAAAGTAAAAATAGATCTTGGAATAGAACTCTTAATAACTGGCCTTCCACACCGAAAAATTCTTTACAGCTTACACCCAATTTTTGGAATCCGTTCTCAGGTATGTAACAAGTCATAGTACACCTAAATTCTAGCTATTGTAATTTTAGAAGACAAACACATCTGCAATTTTATAATTGGGGCTAGCAGTAGTTGTTGTAGGTTACATTGTTATAATACACCTTTAAAACCTAATACTAAATATTGGTTAATGGTGAGAGCCCTGACGAATCAAGCTTATAATGACAGCTCCCTGTTATTTTTTCAAACAGGTGATTTTTACCAGAATTTAATTTCCTATTTTTTATTTTATTTGTACTATCCTATGACATTTACAGCTTCCGAGGATAGCTACCATTACAATACTTATTACATTTCACTAGGAGTACTAATTCTTGTTATTTTGGTAACGGTTGTCCTAGTATACATAATATACAAAATAAGAAGACGAAATAATCAAGCAACTCTTATCCAAGAAGAAGAGATGACGCTAATCGTGAATCAGAAACCTCTTGAAACAACAGTCATCGACTTCAACAGTCTTCAAAATCATTGTTCGCAACCTACATTCATTACAACTTTAAAAATCCAGTTCAATGTGAGTTTTTTATCAACATATAAATGTATAACCGATTGCCTACTCAACAACAGACCATATTTTGAAATGTTCTTAGTCCATTTCAGATCCTGTGCCCCATAGTTTTTGTAAAATTGGTTTGCAGCCTAAGAATATTAACAAGAACAGAGATCGAAACCGAATTATACCATGTAATATTTTATAATTCCAATAAAATCATTTAATTGACGCAGTTTTTTAGACGATACCAACAGAGTCGTCCTTAAGCCAATGGAAGGTGTAGGAACAGAGGACTATATAAATGCTAGCTACGTTGATGTAAGTTTCATTGTTTACCCTACGAAAAATGCAAATTAAAATTTCAGGGCTACAATCGTACAAAAGCTTACATCGCCTGCCAGTCACCCAAATTCTCCACCATCAAAGACTTTTGGAGGATGATATGGCAAGAAAATGTTAGTGTTATAATAATGGCTTCAAATTTTATTGAACGTAAAAAGGTAACGTTTTCCAGACGACGATCCTCTTATTAACAGTAAACCTTTCTACTTCTCAGCGAATGTGTGCAGAATATTGGCCTGAAAACGATTCAGAGGTGCAAGAATATGGTGAAATCATAATAAAATTGCTTAACGAAACCACTTTTGAACTATATGCTTGCCAAGAGCTTGAAATAGCTTACGGTGACGAGAGCAAAAATATACACCATATTCATTTCAAGTGGAGTTTTGACGATTCCAATATATTTTATCCGAATGACGTTTTACCAGTTGTCAAACTTATAAGACAACGGTATGCAAATCCACCTGGACCGATTGTCTTTCACTCAGGGTTGGTCGTTTATTCTTTTGCAGAACTAACAGCCAGCTAACATACTGATTTCTAGTTATGGTACAGGTCGAGTGGGAATTTTAATTTTATGCGATTTAGCACTACAGATGATCAGCAAAGAGAATACAGTTGATTTTTTAAGCTTAACAAGAACACTTAGACATCAACGGGCGTTTATGATCACCAACGTGGTAATAATAAAATTTAAAAAATCTGTACTGTTAATTTTTATGCTTGATCAACTAATACTATTTTTAATCTCAGGAGCACTACATTTTTTCACACTTACTTATCAACGAATACTCTTTGGAACATTCAAGTCCCTTTCAATATTCCATTGGACAAAATATAAAACATGACGATATAAAACAACAGTTTAAGTATTTAGACACTCTGCGTCAGTACGATATTATTTTTCAAGAAGCTAGTCTTCAGTACTGCATTCCTCGACATCCTTTTGAAAGTGTGACAGGTTAGTACTGGGCAGCAGAACCAAAAGGGTATAGTTACAACACGGTTAAACATATTTGTAGTTGCACGATATGGGCAGAGGAGAAAATATTTAATTTCTCGGGAACCAAAAGAGGAACAACTCATAGATTTCTGGAAAATGGTGGCAAGGAAATCGATTGGTTGGGTTTTGTTCCTAAACAAGGTAAAAAGCTCAAGATATTAAACTAATATTAATTTTATGATGTTATTATAGTCTTTCTATGTTGTATTTTTTATTCAGAGATTTCCCTTGACGACCCGCGTAACTGGATCTACAGAAGTGGTAAACATTACCCGGAAACAAGTTGTGAACACAGCCTACGGCCTGATGACCGAAGCATCTTTACTGATATATAATAAAATGTCGAAAGAGGTAAAACTGTGTACAAAGACAAGCTCCAAGCACGTAACGTCTTTATCAAACATTACAGAAGATCCACGACCACAAATTATACATCTTTCAATTTAACAACTGGAAAGAGAATCAGCTGGTCCCGAATTCAGTATGTACCTTTATTTCTGTGATAAACTATATTCATAGCAAAACAGCCAAGGAAAGATTAGTTTTAGTTTCTTGCAGGTATGTTAATCTAATATGGTACTTAGCCTTGATGTCAAAGAAAAAATGTTCATTGTCAAAATTTTTTCCAGTACATGTCCCTTTATGTTATCTTTTTTTTTTAATAATTTTTTTAGCGATGGATTTACAGCTTGTGGCTTATTTGTTGTTTTCTCATACATCGTAGAAAAGTATGAAAATGAAGTAGAAATTGATGTGTGTAATGCCATACGACTTGCACGAAGAAGTGGAAGATCGTTCGTTAATAGAACGGTAAGTGATTTGAATGGAAATGATAATTAACTTATGATATGACTATGGGTATGTCCAAAACATCAGTTGCTCATTCCTGTACACGAAGTATTATCAAAATAAAAAGCGACAGAAGTCGTCCAAATTACTTCTATTTATTCAGCAAAATTTCTTCCTTTCTGCTTAAAAACACATAATTCTAAATTTTTTTTTAACTGTTCAGAAAAGTGTTTGTTATTGTGAGAACACACTATAATATATGTATTTGTATTTTCAATCCTTTCTTATTTTGTTTCAGAAACAACTAACATTTATATACAAATGCATCAGGGATTATATCGAAAACTATGATAAATACCAACAAATTATAAGTAGTAAATGATATAAAAAAAATAAATAAAAATATTAAACAGTGGATATTATATTTATTTACCTCAAACCTCAAAGAGCTTTAGGTGTTCAGTTTACAATTGGCCCAATTTCAAAAAGAATTTAAGCCATTTTTGACAAACAAATATTTGTGTAGCATATACAGGAATTTTTAGATTTTCATTTTTCTGGTTGATTTTTGTAATTAATTATCTATTTTGAATACGAATTATTATTATAATTCATATTAATTGTTGCATCTGACTTGTATAGAGTTTTTATACTTTGGCACGAATAAATTTTACTTGACTTTATTTCACTTGCCAATTGTAGACTCATAACACTTTAGAAACGACTGCTATAAACAAGCTCATAACGCCCTAGGACATTATAAAAAGTTTAGCGGGATTTTATTTATAACACCCGCTAATATAAATTTCTTTTGTGTTTGTGACTTGTTCAACGATTTTTGATGGCATTTTCATTTTTAATTTAAACTTGCGAAATGAGGTTTAAATTAAAAATCCCTTAGCAACATGTAGTTTTATCCGTGTAAACGCCATGTTCAAGTTTATTGGTTTTAAAATAGTTCAAAACTCTTTCAAAATTTAATTTATTTGTTTGAATTTGTGAAAAATTAAATCTTATGTGTGCCACGAACGTTATTAGAGTCATATATAATGCTCAGGACGCCCTACGTACATCAATCACTATTATAAAAAATGATGACGTCATCTTACAATTTTTACGAACAAATTAATGTGGTTTAAATTTTGAAAAATAACATACTCCTACATGTATGATTTATAAATACGTGTTGAGATTTTACCTTATAGGCATCCATAATAACAACAATTCACCCAAATTAATATAGGGAAGGTTTTGCTGCATTGCAGTTTAATAGTGCCACTAGTCAAATTCTTTAGAAGTATAAACATAAACAATCGAAGTTAAGCATGTTTTCCACGATCAGGTGGTTTGAATTAGGCACCATTTGTTGTCGTAAATGCAACCAGCAATTCTTCCTAAAATCTACCTGCTGAGCTGATGAGTAAAAGGAATAGATAATTACGGGACAAGGGTCATAAATCGATTGTAAGTTGATATTGAAGAGTATTGATAATAATATATGAAAGGCTGCCGACAATAGACCTTCCACACAGAATAACCATTTTCCTATATTCTTTTGAAATATTAGAATCAAACTTAAATTAACATAAATCTGTTAATTATACTTTGCAAGTGTAGCTACTTTTTTTAAATTTAAGGAAATTAATCTTTTTCTTTTATTGTATCTTATCCACTTATTATTGTTTAAGAGGTGGTACTTAATTTGTCCTGTAAGTTGAATTATTCTGTTGGGCAAATCGATTTTTATTTATTTATCTACTTATTAACCTATAAATATATTTTTATCTGATCTGCTTCTTTGCATCTACGCAGCTTATTAGAACATTCACTAATAAACTGTTTGCTAAAGTAAGAACTATGAAGTATTTGTCGAAAGTTACTATGGCACAAAAACATGTTGTCGGTAGCCAGGAGCAAGGGGTATTAGAATGCTCCGTCTCCTCACTGCGAGTATCCATAATCCCTAAGTATATAGAATAAAATGGAAAAGGATAACAATCTCCTGCTTTCATTACAGAAAATTTTGAATTCGGCACGAAACTTTTTGAGATAATATGTTAAACCAAACAGTAGAGTGACGTTTTATCAATAATGAATCTTTATTTAATAAATTTATTACGAGTAGCGTTCAAATGGGAAGTATAGTATTATTTTATCAATAAATCAACCTGACCCAACAAGCAATCGAAAGAACTGTCGAAAACTGATAATCTGAAAATGACAGGACGAAACACGATGAAATATCTTCCCGGTTATTTTATTGTTTTTTAATCTGGTTTTTTAATTTTTATGACTTCATATTAATAATTTATTACATATTAGTTCTTTCCCAGGTATGTGTCTAACTGTAGGACCCAATGTTCTCAATTCTTGAAAACGGTTACTCAAAATTTATGTGGTTGACAAATCCGTCTTTAGTTTTTACCCTGGACATCCATATTTTTGTAAAAAAATTAAAAACACTGTATACCAACATGTTACGATTTAATTTTGAAATTGAAAAACCTCTGAAACCTTACAAATTTAATGTTACAAATGTTAAGATAACCAGAAACATGACAAATTATTCATAAAAATTTTAGTAATAAAAAAATCTATAAAATAAAACTTGTTTTAGAGAGAATATTCCTAAAAAAAGATGTCTCTAAAAAATGTACGTACGTATGTCTTGACTGCAATTTTCCTTTAAATATTTTTTTAAATATAATGCTGACATGGAAATTTGAAGTCACTGATTGTATGACTTTTAATAAACACTTTCTTTCTGGGACCAGTAATAATCTTAGCTGTTGATACGTGTTAAACTGTGGCTATTTAGTTTTATTATTAACGACATAAAATATACACTATAAATAATTCAAATTACAACGTCTACAAACATACTAAACATAGCAAAATAGTAATTTTCAATATTTAAAAAGTTATCCGGAAATTTGTGCCATAATTATCCAAACTAATTTTTTTATCTCACTCCATTTGTATAAATTGTATCAAAACTTATGTCTAAAAATGTTGTTCTGCTTACACCGTTGCATGGAAACCGTGCGTCTAGTCGCTGTATTTGGCTGGAATCGGGTTTAAATAAAAATAATGAATTCAGTTGAATAGTTAATAAAAAATCGTTCTTTGTCTTATGACGGTAAAAAATAAAAGGAGAGACTTTCATAGATATTTTAATAAAGCATGGTAAATTTTCATGGATGTGCGGTTGTGAAAAAAATAATAAATTGTTTTGTTTTGTGTGTCTCCTCAGTAATAATTTAAAACCAAAGGTATGTGGACAAGTACTTTTTTACATTTATTGTATGTATTTTGGATTTATATCTTCATATTTAAATCATCAATCAAATTGTGTCCCCATTTCAAAAGGTCACAAACCACCACTGCTTTAGAGTAGGCTGTCGGCCTCCTCAGGAAGGTTTTTGCCTGGCTGCAAATTTAAACATCGTTGCGCTCTTAGCTCCATTTTTTTTTTGGTAAATTTTTAACGAAAATTTCAGTCGTGCATGATAAGAAACGCAGTATATATTCGAGTATTATTTACTTACAATTATTATTGCTAGAATTATTATTATTATCATTTTTGTTAACGGTGTGTAGGCCCTGGTAGCGGAATTAACTGAAAAGAAAAAGTTAGTCGTGAATTTACAAATATATATATATTCATAAAAGACATACCTATTCTAATTTTATAGCACAGTTAAATTTATTTGAGTGTAATGAAAGTATTCAACGGAGGTCTATCATTGTGGAGATTATATTTCACAATCAGTAAAATAATGTGTGTTGTAAATTCTCTGGGTGATCAAATATTCTGTTATGCTTACTTCTACTAAAAAAGTGAAGTTGCATGCGTAATGTATAAGTGTATTTACTGCATATTAAATGGCGTTTTAAGATTGCAATTCCAATAAGCGTCGGTTTTTTACTATTATTATTGAGCTAAACAATAGGTATTTCATAATTTTATTTCAAGATGCTACAGAATCTTATTTGACCATCAATAAAAGCAATAACTAAGAATACGTACCATTAAGTGTAAAACAAAATTCTATTTATTCTTTAGAGAGCAAAACATTCTTGTCAAAATTACTTAATTTCTTCTTCTTCTTCTTCTTCTTCTTGTTCTACTTCATACTTATGAAGTAGAACAAGAATGAAACAAAGCAAGTAAAATATTTTTTTTTTCATACGTACTTCTAAAGATTGAAATGTTAAAGTGTTTTCAGGCAGCGAAGTGGCACTTCGCAGCCTGTAATTTACTTCTCTCCCGTGACAACCGTAACGACAACAAATAAAACAAAAGGCAACTTCATGTTATTTTTATTACCAAATAAATTATATTAGTAAATTTCAAAACAGTTTAATTTATGTTTGAGCCAAAATTAAATTTGAATTCACAATTTTGTGCGGAGATGTGTATACCATGAGAAGAAAGAGAAGCACTAACTGTTTCGGCTAAATTTGGAGATAAATTTACACTATTCTTTGAACTTTCACTTAGTATGTTTTACTGATATTAATCTTCATGTTTGTGGATTCTTCGACGTAACCAGAAGCAAGCTGCAGATGAAGACAATCCACCTAGACGTTTTAAAGCTTGCTCATCGTCTCCATTCTCCACTAGTCGAGACGCAGAAAGCACAATTTTGCACAATTTTGAACTTTTTTGAAATAAAATTTATTTACTAACATCACCTTAGCAACCACAACCAATTCATACGATTTAAAATATGAAATTGCTTTTTTTGAATTTTTTATAATTTTCTAAAGGTTTTCATTAGAAGTATTTATGAAAAAAAAATTATGTGTTCACCACGGACGAGATCGCTTCGCTGTCACGTCTGGATGTGCGTACGAGGCTTAGCCGACTCGACAGCGAACGCTGACTTCTCGTCCTTGGTAAACAAATAATTATTATTTGTATACTTTACAAATAAATTTCATAATAATCCTGTTCACACTTTCGTTTATATTATTGTAACAGAAAAGAAAAACATTCACCTGAATGACTTGTTAGTCCTAAGTGCAATTTCCAGTATCCCTCGTTGTATGGGTAACGCTGCAATCGACTCAGAATTACTTCGTTGTGAATCTTAGGATTCACTTTCATTTTATATCTTTCCCATCGTTCATTATTGTTCTTATTAGTTGAATACATAAAACAGTTTTTATTATTATATCTTGCAATCAGAATGCAAGAGTCACACAAAGATACAGAGAAAATTAAATAACCCTCTTCGGAATCGGGAATTTTCAATTTGTTTATATATGGCTGTTCCTTAGTGACGCTAATAGCTTCTTTATACTCATCTAAAAATAAAAATAATATATTAATTATAAACAAATTAATTAGGTTCAGATAAAACATCAGTTCAGTAAGCGATCAGCTGCCTTGTATCAAGAATCTCTTTGGCTAAAATGGATGTATATTGTGATCTATATTTTTTATATTTTATACTATAGGCAACAACATACTTTATTCTATTTAATCTTTTTTATAAGCACCCAAATGCGGGCATAAATTGGCATTTATGGCACAAATTCTCAAACATTGCTAAGCAACGATTCGCCGTAGAAAAAATAGGATAAATAACTCGTTCATAAGGCTATTGTGGCACCTATCCTTTATATAACTCGCGGCTTCGCTGCTCGTTCTATAAACTTGGATTCGTGCCTTAATATTTGCCTTATGAATCTCGTTCTTTAATATACTATTAAAGTTGACAAAACAGAAAAAAAAATCTAAAATAAAGTCGGTATTAATTTTCTACGTAAGTACTTACTACATGGCATCACTTTACCATGATTTCTTATGGAGAAGCAAATAACTGGATTTCTTGTGGATTTTATCATAGTAGCGCCCTTAATAGTTATACTTACATTCGTAGATTTTAAAGTTTGCTTCTGTCGGAGTTTCTATCATTAACGTTGTTGGAATCAGAGTGATCCGTTCTATTAATTTTGTATAATTTTCATAAATGCACAACATTTCATCCTTTATACCAAGAGTAAAAGTAGTCCAAACTTCTGCATCGTTTATTTTATGTTCGAAATAAAATGGGCTTGATTCTGAGGGTACATAAAATTCAATATCTGTTGTTCCTTTTACCGAAAAACTGTAAGACTTCACGAAGTTCACAAATAATTCCTTCCCTTTCTTGATATCGAAATCTGAAAACAATAAACACAAAAAAACCTAAACTAACTATATTATATTTATAATAGGGTTCATTAAATAAGTTTAGCCAATTGCGTCATCCATTTTTAGGGGGAATAAAAAATCAGTGCAGCGCTAATACTTTCAACCCTACTACTTTGCTAGAATTCAGAAAAGTGTTATAAACTGCTCTTGAAAACAATTAATAAAATATATAAAACAATCTCTGTCAAATGAAATCAATAGGTGGAAACGGTCATTCTAGAAGCTACAGGAAGTCGACCACAGATGAAATTAACTAATGATCTTACCTTACACTCAGGGACTAAAACAATTTGGGCCCTTCTGTTTCAGAAACACATACCTTTAAAATTGTCTTCAAAATCGGGCCTGGTTGACAAGTTGCTTGATTTTTTTATTACCCAGTCATCATTTTCCAAAAAATCGCTGGTTAATAAATCGTTTATTTCTTTCACTACAGATGGCACTATATCAGGGTTCTCGTATTTTATTGACTGACAAATATTCTCCTCCACTATTTCTTGTTGGAGTACGACTACACATAAAAGTAGTACTAGAAGTCCGACGTGTTTGTAAACATTACAAACATTTAATGTCATATTACTGCACTTTTTTATAACGTTGAACACTAAATCATACTTGTAGCTGATTAGTTTAAAACTATTTCACAAATTTAGCTTCTACTAACTGAATTTCAGATTAAGCAATAAATTAAAAAAAATCGATTAGATAAGATTAAAAATTACTGGATCAATATATATCAAGGGGAACTTTGCGCAACACTTATGTTTATCAATAACAAACACATAACCAATCATACTGCGTATCTACATGTATAGGTATTCGAATTAAATGTCGTCGAATTTTCTAGAAGAAGACTAAAATATAAAGCCAAGTATCTACATCTTATTCCTAATATATCAACATACAATTTGACAACAAACGGTCCTGCCATTACGACTGCGTCTCTCTTACAATGTTGGATTATGTTATTATATAATTTGATTTTTTTTAATCTGGCTGCTTAGTGCAAAAGCTCAAGCAAATTCATAAACCACAAGTACAAGAGTGTGTTATTTTATAAAATTTAAATACTATTTATTACACAAAATTTTGAAGTGACGTTATCAAATTGTTGGTGATATAAAATATTCCCTCTGTTATGCTCACGCGGGCATAACAGAGTGTGAGCTCTCTGCTCGAGCGTGCAATAATAATAATAATAATAATAATATTCACATAAAATTTGAAATGGCTGGGTGTGATTACTTTTGCAGATTACCTGTCCAATAAAAATCGACACAAACGACAGACAGACTGAAACAGGAAACCTATTTCTTCTTATTCTGGTGGTCTTTGCTCGGATAGACCCTACTAGTTAGTTTAGTATTAAGTTTTATTTGATAAATTGGTATTGATGTGACACAAATATTTCGCCTTGTCTTTAATTAAATGTAGCTGTCGATAAATAATACTTTGGTAAAAGTTTCTTGTTTTATTCAGATAAGTAATCAGATTCTGATAACACAACTATTAGATGATAATCACTGTGTTTATTATATTAATTCACTTAAGTGTGCGAAAATGCAGAGTTCTCTCCTATGTTTCTTGTTCATCACATTCGTCTCTTTTGTTTCGTGTTCGATAACACTTTTCGAGTTGAGTGTGAAAGTCACGAACGCAATTTCAGAAAATGTTGCTAACGTAAATGAATTCACTAAGGTAACCGACACGGATAACAGTAAGCAAAAGTTGTTATTACTGTTGAAACTAGATGGCATCGCTGTTGAAATTGATGAAATAATTGGACAAATTCAACGAATTGGTAAGCAATCAAGTACATTCGTTCCTCATATTGTCTTGAACTAACTTTTAGATAAAGATAAAGACTTGAATATTATTAGCAGATTGTTAAAAAAATTAGCGATGAATAATAAATGGCATTCAACCTTAAAAGATATTCGAATGATACAGACATATTTGAATGATTATTACAAGGAGATGAAGAAATATATACGAGACGCTGATGAATACAATTCTACGGTATTAGTTGATTTTGCTGACAAAGTAGCATCTGGCTCCAAAAATTCTGTTCCTTCTCTGCTTAACTTGCTGTTTGAAAAAGTGCTAGGTAAAGATTTTCTAGAAAATTTACTGAAATATTTAAAAGTAAGATTTATTATACATTTGTTAAGAAATCCTTAATAATCTATATAATTTATAGCCCAACGGAATCTGTTACTGCCAGGAAAAGCAATCCACTGCTGAGATATTACACACATTTATGAATGAAATACAAACAACGAGTATAAAAAGTTTTGTATCAATATATGCAGCATATATGATCAAACACATATATTCAGATAAAGGTAAACTCATATTTTCCATTCAAAATCATCGAAACTATTTTTGTATGTCGATTTTCAGGGAATTTTACAAAAGCAATGTTAAATGCTAGCGATAATTTCCAGAGGAGGACTAATAACCTTATATCTACCCTGAAAACTCATATGGCAACAGCTTCTTTAGAAGTACGAAGATGTGATCTTCTACCTAACCACATATACGGTAATTTACTTATGTTTTTACTTTCCAAGGTAAGCTAAGGAAGTATTGTAATCGAGTCCATCGGTCGACTGGCTATTTTCACTTTTTCTAGATGTATCTTGACCCCTAGAGTAAGTCAAAATAATAGGTCTTTCGTTTCCGTCATAGCACGCTTCTTTACATTTACTTTAAGTTATTTAGATATCTTTATTTTAACTTAGATCCTCATAAAAAAAATAAGATCCGCAAAATCAAATTTTATAATTTTTCGAAAAAGCTGGATATCTTTTATTGTACTTCACGGCCGAGGAAAGTTCTGTCAAAATAATCTTCGACTATTTTTTTAATATGATTTTATATACAATTTAAACCTCATTTATTATGCCAATTTTAAAGTGACGTCATCACATTCTTGGGGGGGGGGGGGGATGATTAGACAAAGTTTGGTTAGCGTTTTTCCATCTACATGATATTCATAACACACAACAATCGGTCCGGTAGTTTCGAAAATTATCTGTCTAACAAAAATCGCCAGCGGTCCTGCAGATAGACAGATAGACGGAAACTGAGTACCTATTTTCAAGTTCTAGGAGCTATGAAACGTCGAAAAAATAGGAACGTATTCGTTTGGCAAATGAACCTTCCCTAGTTTACAATCAGGAAGTAATTCATTAAGATGTAATTTGCTTCAGGCGAAACTTACCTGGAAATTAAAAATTTTCTTCATGGAATTATAATAAATAAAGTGAACTTGGACCCTAATGGCAGCTGTAAAAAAGAATGCAACGCTTATTCTTATACAAAACATTATAACTGTGGCAGCAATGAGTGGTGTAGGAAAGAAGCAATGTGTTCAAAAGTGATCGGTTGCCAGTACGTGGATTCATCGATGGAAGTGTGTCCCTCTGTATTAACTGGTATTTATTTGCATAATATTCTTATAAACAACTACAGCTCTAGAAAATGCACAAAACCAGCAGAAGATACGAATACGTCAAACTAGGAAATGGAAGGGTTTTGGGGAAAGAGAAGCCTTGCGACACTGATATAACTTCTCTTGAAACTTATAGAAATTGGGTTTTTTGGAAATGCTCCTATTGTTTCTGTTTATGTGATGAAGGACGAAAATTTTATACGCAAAACCACATAAATATGCGACCAGTCGAATCGAACATTCATCGCAATATGTATGGTAATCATGCGATGTTAGTCGCAATTTATAATTACGGTTTTCATGTTTTTAGGGTTGTAACTGGTTTACGGTTTATTGAACACAATCATATTATTCATCTGCAAATACAAGAAGGTAAACTTCTTCCAAACGGCCAGATTGATCTTAATAGTGTCCAATGGTTGGCACCTGAAGACTATGACATTACCCAAAGGAATTACGTCAATGGTAAAGATTATCATACACTATCATGGGAAAAGAGAAGTTTGCAGCTGGTCGATATAATGGCTAAACAAGGAAATATTGTAACTGGTGTTGGGTTCGTACTTGATAAATTCAGAAACCACTTACGTTTACAAGTGTTCACACGGCCTTTTAATTTTACTACTGGTGAAGTTACAAAAACTTCTAAAGCAGTTGTAGAAGCATCATATGAGTATTTATCTACAAGACCCTCGTCAACTGTGGCTTATTCGTTTTTCTTTCAGAGTTGGCCCTCAACTGAAACTGGATGCAGTCGATATTCCTACTAATGCAATATTCCCTTCGAATCAGTTTGAAACGAATAAGTTTGTCAAGTTTACAAATTCAGATTTCGAGAAAGATGCTGGCCAATCAACGGTACCATTTTTGGATGCTCTACCTGTAGAGTCAGCAAATCCAGTGCCTCTCTCAGGGGTTGGTATTTTTCATAAGGGACGACTTGGGTTTGGTGGATTTATCGCCCCCAGAATTTTCACTTACAACTTTACTAACCATTTAGAATCTGTTTTTTTCTAGCTAAAAACAAACGACTAGTTAATTTCGTAATTAATAACACAATAAATGATATTATAGTACTTTCATCGGTCAGATGAGTTTGTTTATAAAAATATATGTTAATTAGTAGAATTTAACTCTGACTTTTCAATTTTTTATACTGGGGCCACATCATCACTCAGGCTACAACGAATTTTCGGGTTATACCGAGTGTCTGGAAAATGGCGACCCGGTATATTATTCTTAAACCAAAAAGTTTAGGCTTTATTATCAAGTGGGGGCTGACATTTTTCGGTACCTACTAGAGTTAAATGATGGACAGGAATTATCTAAGTTAATTATAGAAAACCTCGGAAGTAATTCATATACAGTTAATTTCTTAGTGTAATTCAATTACATTTGAAGTAATGGGCAACTGCAATGAATTACTTTCCAAAAAATGCAATTAGTAATTGGGTTTGTAGTTCATACTCTGTTATGCCCTCGAGAATAATGATAATTCTTAATTATATTCAATTCAGTAAATACTTGCAATTACATAAAAACAAATTACAAATTCATAAAATGATGATCATTTTTCTTGAAACTAAACACATTTGAGTTGGATACTTCTTGTGATGGTAAGAGTATCAAATATTTTTTACTTCGCTCCGTCAGAGTTAATACATCCTTGCAATTATACAGCGTGAGTATGATATTGATACTAACGAAACCCTTACCAATTTTCAATGCAACACAACATACATCTATCAGTTATTGTCACTGTTTCTGAAAGATGTCAATCAAAATTTCATAAATGAAATATTAAAAAAACACCCAACATATTAATTCAAAGAAATGTAATAAATAAATTGAAGAATTCAATAAATTTAAGTAATGCAACTGCGCAACACACATTTCGATGCGATTTAAACAAGACAACCGGTCGCGGGCCAGTGTTTCAGGAGTTATTGCAGCATATGCATTTCGAATTCTGTGATAATGAGGTGGTGCCCCGTCCTGCTGAAACCACAGTTCTTGTCGGAGGTTATTATTATTATTATTATACTTTGAGCTGAGGCAGTGCCTATTAAGCTCACGATTTTACTAAAACAGAGAAATACATATTGTAATCAGCGTAATTTATAATGGCGACAATTTATTATCTTCTGTTAATGTAGCTTTGTTTTGAATGTGTTGATACTATGAGAATTAATAGTGTTTGCGGGTAGGGCATACCAGGCAGTAAATACTCGATTACTTAAAAAGTTTTCCTGGATCTTGCTTTTGTACTGATTATGACGCAATTTTAAGCTGTGACCACGAAGACGTTCGTCACTGTTGATGTTAAATAAAGGTGACAAGTCGACCCCAAGATAACCTTTCAAAATTTTAAATGTCCAGACTAAATCGTTTCTGGATCGTCTTTCGGACAGAGTGCAAAGTGCTAGTTCTTGGAGCCTCTGAGAATACTGAAGGTTATGTAGGCTGGCGACCGTTTTGGTTGCGCGTCTTTGAGCTCGCTCTAATAATTCAATGTCTTTTTGTAAGAAAGGACACCAGACAACAGATGCGTATTCCAACTGAGCTCTAACATAAGACCTATACAATGTCAGGAATGACTCCTTCGATAGACTTTAGAAGGCTTTTCGAAGCAGATACATCGTAATGTTTGTTTTTTTAACAGTTTTTAAAGAGTGGTGCGACCATTTGAGGTCGCTTTGAATCGTGATACCAAGGTCTACATACTTATCAACAGCTTTGATGAGATCGTTGCCAATACGATAGTTTAAACATGGATTTTTTGCACCCAGATGAAGAATGACGCATTTTTCTTTGTTAATAGGAATTAGCCACAGATCGCACCATTGTAGCACAGTATTTAGGTCTTCGATTAGGATATTGTAACTACTATAGGGATAGTTAAAAATTTTATGATCATCCGCATAGAAGACGACTTAAATCAGATATATAAAGAAGAAATAAAACAGGCCCTAGGACGGATCCCTGAGGAACTCCGGATTTTACAGCATAATTATTGGACAATGAATCACCAACTCTGACGTAAAAGACACGTTCAGATAGGAAAGCGTATATCCACTTCAAGAGATTACCCTTAATACCTAACTCTCTCAGTTTGTGTATTAGCCTTCGATGAGGAACTTTGTCGAATGCCTTTTGAAAATCTATATAAACAATATCAACGGAATCAACGCGGTCAATAGCTTTGGTCCATTTATCTAAACAATATAAAAGGCATGTCTCAGTGGAACGACCAGGGATAAAGCCACGTTGTTCGTCAGGTACTATACCTTGATGAATAGCAAAATGAATTATTCTTTTACACAAAATTCGTTCCATTAATTTACAGCAAACTGCAGTCAAACTTATAGGACGATAGTTTTTACGGTCAGTTTTGTCACCTTTTTTAAAAATGGGTGTGACAGATGATTTTAACCAGTCGGACGGTAAAGAAGTTGAAAGTAAAGACTGGGACATTATGTGAGCAAGAGGCTTGGCTAATTGCACAGCATATTTTTTTAAGAAAGAACCACAGATATTATCAGGACCAGGGGCACTATATTCAGAAAGGTTCAATAGCTCACAATAAACTGTGGTTTCATTTATTTCTATAGTATCAAGATACAATGATGTTGGGGGAGAATTAGGTAGGTTTTGAGAGTCTTCACTGGTATATGTACTGGTAAAAAATTCTGCTAGTATTTCAGCCGATTCAGAGTTGGATTTGGAACAATGACCATCGTTGTTTTTTACAGTAGGCAAAGAAATTTTCGAACACAGTTTGCGTTTAGTATATTTATACACTGCTTTTGGTCCTCTGTTCAACAAGGAATTTTCATAAATTTGCCTGGCCTTATTTAAATCTTTGCTTAGTATATTGGCAAAACTGCGGTGCAACTCAAAATCTTCTGTTCTCTTTGTCAGTTTATATTTTTTCCACAATTTTCTTTTATACTTAACCCTTCGCAGTAAATCCCCTGAAATCCAAGGTTTTGTACTATTCGACTGCTTGACTTTCGTCTTACTGTTGTTAGCAACTACACTATGTATTGTGTTTTTGAATGCATTCCACAAAGTTTGTACTTCAGAAATAGAGTAAAAGGCTTCCCAGTTGATTATGGTCGATTATTTTGTATAACTCTTTCCTGTGTTTTGAAGCTGTGACTTGAGTTATCTGGATATTAGATTCTATTACTGCATGATCAGAAATGCCTATTGGAGAGGAAATATTAATATCAGAAAGGAGAGTAGTATCATTAATTAGAATTAAGTCTAAGAGTGACGGGGTATTACCAAGTCTAAATCGAGTGGGTTCGTGCACTAGTTGATTATAATTAGAGTCCAGATACATTTCTACAAAGAGTGAATTCGTATTATTACCTTCACAGACAATTAAGCAACTATAATAATCGGAAATTCTCTTAAGTTCATTAATTAGTAGTATATCATCTGCCAGTGAGGTGGTGGGTGAACGATATATACAACCTACACAAAAAGAACCTGTTTTAAAAGATATACAGAGAAACAAACACTCAATAGTAGATTATTATTATTATTATTATTATTATTATTAGGAAACCTCCGACAGGCATTTAGCCCAATTATGGAGTTTTTTTAACACACTAATATAACCTTAACTAGACTAAACTAAACTAACTAACTAACAAAAATTACCATTACGGTAAAAGGAAAGAAGAAGAAAAGTTCAAGAACCTTGACCTAATCAGTCGTTATTACCTAAAGATCAGTCACTCTCAAATTGCCTGATTCAATATTTTTTATTATTAAATTTTTTATCTTAGTACTGGTATCTGTATGAATGTCAAATTCTATCTCTCTAAGCAATTTGTTACAACATTTTTGCATCCTGTAGATGGGAGACATTTTCAGCATGTTAGTTTTTGCTTGATTCGTGTAAAATAAACTTTTGTCTCGTAAATTCCCGCGCTTAATCCAAAATCTGACTTTTTCTAGTAGAGCAGGGGCATCAATTTTATCATTTAATAATGAATGTAAAAACATAATAAGACCTATAATTCTCCGCAAATTTAGATGAAGTAAATTAAATCTCCTAAGTAATTGTTCTTGTGGAGCGTGTCTTACAGGATATACGCCATCTTCTCGATATGCCAGGTATTTTACAAAACGCCTCTGTACTTTTTCCAGAGAATCGATCTGATATTTTGCAATAGGGTTCCACACAATATTGGCGTATTCCATTTTCGATCTTACAAGTGCAAAATAAAGATTTATTATAGTTTGAGGTCCTTTAAATCCCTTGGAGGCTCTTATTATGAATCCCAAGCATTTATAAGCCGCAGACACAATCAATTCTATATGTTTAGCGAAGGAAAGTTGCGAGTCCAATGTTAATCCTAGATCCTTGAAAAGCTGAGTTCGTTGAATTGTAGTATTCCCAATGCTATAGTCGAATAGTATAGGATTATGAGTTCTAGAGAAAGTAATTGCCTTACATTTCGAGGCATTTATAGACAATCGATTAAATTGACAATAATGAAATATTCGATCTAAATTTGCTTGTAAATTTTGGCAATCTACATTACTTCCTACTCTGCAAAATACCTTTAGGTCGTCAGCAAACATTAGGCAATTAACGTCGGTGACATCAAAAATGTCATTAATAAAGGCAACAAACAACAACGGTGCCAGCACAGACCCTTGGGGTACCCCCGAGTTCTGGCCAAATTCTACAGACTTGTAACCCATACATTCAACAAACTGGTATCTACCTTTCAAATATTCTGTAAAAAATTTTATGGCTTTCAGAGAAAATCCATACAAGTGTTTAAGCTTATGAATTAACAATTTATGATCCAACTGGTCAAAAGCCTTTGTGATATCCATATATACGACGTCCATCTGCCCTCGATTATCTAATTCCTCACGAATATTATGCGTTAAAGTTACTAAATTGGTAACTGTAGACCGCCCCTTCACAAAACCATGCTGATTTAATGACAATTTATTCTTCAAATGATTGTTCAACCGATTGTAGATAATGATTTCTAGGCCTTTCGAAAAGTTGTTAATAAGAGATATAGGCCTATAGTTGCTTATATCAGATCTATTGCCACTCTTAAACACAGGCACCACCTTTGATACTTTCCAGCATTCA